TAGTAGCTAGGATTAAATTCTTGTAGTAGCCCTACTGCAAGGCAAAACGATGTCTGGAATTATAGGTAGTATAGAGTGCTGGGGAGTTTTGTGTAGTGCGTATCAATTAGTCGCTCCGGACCTTGTGACACAGTCTGCACAATATGCCAAGTTGTCGTACAGGATCTGTGTTAGGGAAGATGAGACATTTGAAGAAACGTATAAAAGGTTTGGTTAGGTTAGTATGCTCATATTTTAATTCGCATTTATAATTAAGGAGCGCTACACTTGCACGTGATATATATAGAATAGGTAAAATAATACGGATGGCTGTAAATATAATATACAGTAGTAGCGATAAATCTTTGTCGCTTATTAGAAGGAATTCTTTCGTCATAAAACTACTAGATAAAGCTAAGACTAGCGTGTTGTTGTAATTATTCGAGTTTTGTAACGGGGGATGCGGGCGTGTAAATAGGTTTAGCAGAAACACCGGCTCTGAGGAGTATAGATGCGGACGGCGAAGGGGGTAGGAGAACAACGCCGGATAAGGAGCTGTATTCGTGGCCTTGACCATGTTTACATTGCGGCATTCGATGTAGATTGTAGCGAGGAATTAGATTCTGCAGTTTTACTGCAACTATCTGAAGGGAAGCCTGGAATCTGCACATTTAATCTTGGAAAGAAGAATAAAAGCCGAACTACCTTCTCTTATTTTCTAGAGAACAGCCTTCTAAAGGTGCTCTACATGGACTTAACTTCTCTTCTACGCAAAGGTGTACAGCTTGAAGGGGTTAAATAATCTCGTTGTAACCGGATACTCGCGAAATAAACAAAGCAAGAAATACCAAGAGGTCTAGCATACTGACTGTCCCGAATCACAAGGCGCAGGGCAGATATTCTCGAGTATTAACGACTACGCAAAGTGGGTTAAAGCAATGATCTATCGCGAGGGGCCCATAACTGAAGACGTGTACGAGGGTCTCACCAAGAAGCTTATTAGGCAGAACCTTCCCACGGAAGACTTGAACGAAGAGCAATTGACATACAGTGCCCTGGGTTGGGATATCCGTTAGTATGCAGGCTATACAATCTTCTCCCACGATGGAGGGGAAATTGGCTACCAGTGTAACCACTTTTTCATTCCGGAACTTAAGTTTGGAGGTGCCATTTTTAGTAACTCGGACAATGCAGACAATTTTGTCAGCCTAATAGCGTTTCGATTAATTGATGATGTGGTGCACGGGCTAAAAGCCGAAAGATCGATTTAGATGGAGACCAATAACTCGGAAGCAGGATTTAAGTCTTGCTCCGACGCGGAGGACTCCTATGGCAATGATTACACAGAACTAGAAGAAGAACTACGACAGGAGCTTAGTGATTTTAATCATAATTCTCAGCTACAGGAGCTGCCACTTAGTGCATTTACAGGGTAATACTAGAACGCGGGTTATCGAGGCATTAAAATTAAAGAAAGAGAAGGCGCTCTTTTTGTCGATGCTATGGATCGGTCCCTGGGGTTTACCCTTACCTTTAAGCATATATGTGAGTAAACGAAGTACGTTGCTCAGTTGAGTATAGGAGCAGGGGCTAGCGACATACCCATTAAAGGAGAGTTCTTTCTTAAAGATAATAAAGCCATCAGGATAGGATTACAATTAGAAGATCTGTTGGATAGGTATATCTGGTTTGAAAGAAAAAATATTTAAGGGAAAACGCAATCTTGAAAGATCTAAACTAGTCGGCGTATAACTAAATCTCTTCGTATAATAAATTACGTTTTATTGCATTAAATAGATTGTTCGAGATTAAACTATAACTGTATTCTACTTCTGGCTTAAAAGGTACTACGCTTTAGAGTTAGTAAACAGTCTAAGGAATCTATATAAAAGACTTGTGAAGTATTCTATATATATATTGCAAACGTTATTTTAGGGATAAGACACCTTATACGTGTTAGTAAAGCCTAGTAGCTTCTATCTAGGACGACGACAACAGTCAGGGCCGTAGAGCCATGGGGGATTAACACAATTTATAGAATAATTCAATGATACAACCGCTTAATCTTTTTGTTATTTGTTCAGAAGCCAATACATAGATTTCTACTACTTCTATCAGTTGAAAATATCACCACCGTCTTGTCCCTCTTGGGCGGTCCGAATCCTGTCAACAGTCGTCTTTCCAATCGACGGCAAGTATTTTACGTCTTCGTACGCTCTATCAGTCGCAATCATCTCTGCGATCCCCTTTGCCGCGAGCCAAATGACAGGCATTCCATGTCCATTAAAGCCAGCAACGATGTACTGGCCCGACTTCCCCGGAACTTCTCCAAGGTGCGGTAGGCTATCGAACGAGTAGCCCATAACGCCAGTCCAGGCTTCCTTCACGTACGCGTTACTGTCCTCCCAGCCATTGAATGTGCGTTGCATGAAGTTGTCAAAGAAGCCGCTGGAGGCTTCAATAAGGGTACTGTCATCAACATTATTGTACCATTGTTGAGGGTACGGGCGGAATAACCTGCTAGATCCTCCTACAATCACGCCTTCGCCACCTGACAAAGGAATCAGATAGCTAAGAACGCCAGCAGCATCTCGAATAATGTATAGATTAGTCAGCGTTGCTCCCGATTGCCCTTCGGGGACTGCTACGTGAGTACAAATGCCTTTGCAGGGTATGATGCTCTTTGTGTACTCTGGCAAAAGGGTAGAAACATAAGCATTGCTCGCATGGACAATCTTCTTGGCCTTAATGCTTCCTCGTGGAGTATCCACAATCCATCCCCCATTCACCGAATCTTCGTGCAGAGCTGTGGCAGGGGTATGAGTCTGCAAATTCACCTGCTTTCCCATCTCTAGAACCCGCTGCAACAGGGCGAGGATGAACTTATAAGGATCAAGAGATGCTGCTTCATAAGTCGCGCTCGCTTTGACACCTTTGACAATTCCATCTTGGTCAGAACCGTAAACGAAATCAATGGTGTTCGTGTAGCGCACTTGCAGAGATACCAAGAGGTCGTAGGCAGCCTTAGCTGTTTTTGCTCCTGGACGAAGTTAGTACAAAAGACTTAGTCAACTGCACAGCTACAAATAGTTTCATACCTTCGTCGCTCAGCCAAGTGTCAGTGCTCCTCGTTGGGGTAAAATCGCAATCAATTCGTGCTTCGGCGATTAACTCCCGAATTGCCTCCATATTAGCAAGCTCAAATTCCGCCCATTGGACTCCAGCGTCAACGCCGTACCGTTGTATGTACTTGGGGATTTGCTCATATAGATCTGGTCTCAAATGTCCTCCTTTTCGTCCTGTCGCGCCGGAACATACTGAACGGGCTTCCAGCAATGCAATTGACATGGATGGGTTTGTCTTTAACAAGTTGTATGCTGCGCTAACTCCAGCGTAGCCCACTCCAATAATTAGGACATCGCACTCTGTGGGAAGATCAGGTGTAGATCGGTGATTGGCCAGTACATGAGTCGTTTTTCTTTCCCAGTAGGGCTTGATTGGGTTTGAAACCGGGAGTTTTGGTGCTGTTGTTGCACTGTCTTTGATGGGTAAGTCCATTCTGTGTTATTGAGTAACTTAATGTGATTTAATCGACTAAAGAACTACTCAGATATTGCAAGTTCAGATGTTGATATTGCAAGTAACGGCCAGAATACCTCCGTACGGCTGGGCATTAACGAATATTTAAGGGATAGTTTTTACCGTGTTTTAGTATATCGCATTACCAATTACTCTATACACCTAAACTCCGGGTGGCTCAGCGAATTCAAGTATTCCAAGGTTAGCCTTGTCGACTCCATACTGTATAACAGTCTACCTAGGTACTGGTTCTGTCGTTAATGCGACTGGACGGCGTTTTTAGTCAGCTGCCGAGCGTATGCGACGTTTGCCGGATTATCAATCAACGGCAGTAACTAGGTATCCCACTTCCCACTCTTTGGATTAGCACAGGGGGTGCACAAATTCGTTGGTTGACTTTGTAACCGAAAAAGTGCTAAATCGTCCAACGAATCTCTGCACAGCCTATGTAGAATTGAGCGTAGTGATACGTCAGCTGCCGAGCGCAGGCGACGTTAGCCGGATTTTGCAATCTACCAGCAGCATTCCGCGCTTTGAATTAGAACCGAGCGTGATACGTTACCTGCTTTAATATTAAATATGCCTATCACCAGAGAAAGCATGCCATAATATTATTAGGGTTGTTGAAATTCCTCATGGTCCACCGAATTCCGATCAGCGGGGGAACGACATCAGACTTTTGCACATTCTCATATGAGAAGGCCGAAGAGCTAAGTTAAGGGAAAAGGAGGCTTAATGATATCAGTAAAGGAGCATGCACAGACGTTGACCAGAGTGGTCATTCTTAGTACTGGCACTTTCCGTTTAATCTCCTATGTATTTGACTGCCCAGGGGCTCTGACCCAGTAGTGGAGTCAAATATGACTGCTCTCGCACTTGTATAAAAATCGTCTGGCTAGGGTCGAAGTATGTTTCGGGGAGCCACGTGGCAAAAGCAAAACATGGGACTAAGAATTTCAAATTGATCTGGTGCGATTCTCTGCACGCAAATAGCAAAAACAGAACCTTGCTGGTTGACCATAGTGCTAGCATGCCTCCCACCTTCGGAGCCTCTAGAACGACAATCAAGCTCATGCTGAACCGCTGTCTGGGTGCTACTGGAGGTTTTGCAGCGGCTCCCTTGCCCGTTCGTCCTGACTCTCGTGATGCGATTACCTCGAAGCGCTCAGAGAACCTAACCGTCTTCTATCGCGAAAATTAGCAAACTCGAAGTAAAGCATCCCATGGGCTCAGATTAACTCCCCAATTATGTTTATGCTGTCAAACTATCTATGCTTTGTTCCTGAGAGTTACAAGTTAGAACTTGAAGGTCTTCGGGTAGAGGAAGGAAGATACTTTAGTTAATTGTTTAGTTTGTGAAATGTGCGGAGCGAGCTGTCGAAGTGTGCTGCATGGCCTCAATATCGTTTACCGGTGCCAGAGCCTGTCCCGCGTCGAATTCTCATACTCACAAAGCTTGACCTCCTTCATCACACCCGTCTTTACTAGGCCTTCGACTGTAGTCTCATGTAGAAGCATTAGGAATCTAAGCTGTGAAAGATTCGATTTGCTGCTGGAAGTGATACATTTGACCTACATCCGTGGGGATATTGTAATACATGAGCACGATTGTGACCGCGCTTGTGTAATTGCGTGATTGAAGCTTTTGTTATATTGTCAAATAAGATTGTCGTCAATTCCACAAATGGCGTAGGTTCCGGTGATCTTCCTACTACGAGCGCAATAAACTGCTCAAAGAGGATAAGGAATGTAGCATGGCTGAGAACATTAGAGCAGTTGTCGATTTCCCCATGCTGAATCTCCTTAGCGAGTATATCGCAAACTTATACTTCACCGTACATATAAACCAGACTACCACTTCCAAGCCTTTGATGTGTTTATCACATAGTTGGGCATTTGGTTCATCAAAGCAACTTGCAAGCGGTCTCGACAGTAACATTATTGGCTCTTATATCTGCAATAACTGGAGGATACAACATCACAACTCGTACCGTGATCTGTAACGACCACGAAGAATAGCCGAGTTCACTGATAGCCCTACGTAACTTCGAACTGCACGAATCCTCGACTCGGAATATTTAAATAAAGATTGGATTATACAATGTCAAAAGTGAGAACTCCGAGCATTTGTCGCTTCACTATTGCTTCGATTGGACTGCGGGCCACAACATGCTGCTGGCTCTAGTCTATCAGTGTGAGAGGTTCTCCTCGTCAAAGCGAATGTTGTTCAGTGAATCAGGTGAAGATTAACAGCCGTCAAATAAGGCTGATAGACTATACTTGACGTACTAATAATAACCATCGCAGAGGGTAGGAACACAAAACCCTATGAAACAAGTCATAATTATAACAAAACTCCAATGTAATCATCATAACATTGCAGCAATTATAATCCAGTCATCCAACCCAGGCTTTCGACTTCTCATTCTCGATAAAAGCCGTAGCATTAAGGCCAACGAAGCGAGCGAGGCGCCAACAATTGCTGTGAGTAAAATAGTAATGGTTCTGTCTCGCAGTGGCCTATCATTAAGGTCTTGTAGTAATAGTTTTAGTCTCTGTTAAGATTAGAATCCTCCAAACCTCCATCAAAGAGAACCGTCTAAGACCCCCCCTTGTTGTGCAAGGGCTGCCAACTCACACTTCAAGGCTACGGCTTAGCTCTTGATCCGAGCAGTTATACGTTTTAGTTGCCGGTATACTGGGTAACATGGAAGTCATTTTATTGATGCATTGTACCTATACACTCAGTATTTTAAAGAACGAAACAAGTTTGATAATGATAGCTTACATCACACATAGGGAGGTTCCCATTAGTGAGCTTTCCATTAGTGGAGTTCAATTTTGCGGCCTTGAGGTTACTATAATGAAGATATAAAACTAGGTATAAGATTAGTAATAACAATAAGCAGAACTCAGTAGTTGCAAAGAATTGCTTTCCCCTTAAATATCCACAAAGTCTTTTGTCCGGTGCGAAGCGAGGTGGTGGATAAAAAGACAGCAGTCATTTGCGGCGAGTTTGTGAAACCATCCAGAACCGTAAAAGATCAACCACCCAACAATTTTGGAATGGGCATCACATTTAGCGGTACTCGAATTGAGTTCCCAAAGCCTCGCTCTTTTCCATATGAACAATATCCCTCGAACCCAGCGCAACCTGTATGAGATAGCTTAGGGTTAAAATTGTGGAAGTTCTTGCCATTCTACTCCGTATGTTGTGGAAACTGGGCGAAAAGGTTAGGGTTTAGTGACAAACTATACTTGCTTTCGTTTTGAAATCCAAGTCGACGAGTTATCTAAGAGAAGACCGTAGTATCATCATTTGTGCATAAAGTAAATGTAAGAACTATGTTAAGAGTAGATCTTCATTTCATTGAGAACCATCTATGGACCAATCGAAGATAATGGAGTCCTCGCAAAGATAAGTGATGAGCGATCAAAATTCAACCATGCCCCTGGACACCACCCTGCCGTCCCTGAACGTCCTGTAATTTGCTACACAAGGTTTCCGCATACTATAAGAGATTGCGTATTATGGCCGGCATTTGCTTAAATATTCATCTATTTCCAAGATGTAGGACCGAAAGTACCGTTCGTGAGGACGATTTTCGGCGTTGCATTCCAGTCAACATTGTTCATGAAGCCGCCGTTAAAGCCACCCCACCATTGAGGAGGCGAAACTTTGTCGGGTAGCTGCAGAGCAAAGAAGATGAGCAAGACGCAGATGATAGTTCCCGAATCCAAGGCTGCGGAGGTGATGTAAGTGTACTCTGTCCACCAACCTGGATGGCGACCCTTGATGACTGCAGATGGAAGTTAGCTGGTGGAATTTATCATAAATGGAATCACACGTACCTTTGTTGAACATAGTTCCAACAAATCCCCAACTGGCGTAGATCATGACAGTCGCAGGAGGGATATATGCAGTTCCACCGAAAATGACTGGCGTGGAGACGTAACGCAAAATGCTGTTGGGCCATTTTCGGGCTGCCAACCAGACAAGGATTGGGCAGACCAAGCCTAAAATGAAGAAATACATCATGCAGTTGTAGATTCCATTAGCTACATGAATCAGTTAGCATGTTGTCAAGTTTGAAATATTTCGAAGCTGCCAAGCTGGAGCGAAATTAACTTACAACCAAAGATTCGTTCCGGTCCAATGACTCCCCAGATGATGGAAGCCGTGAAGAAAACGTGGGCATTTGGACAACTGTAATGCGCAGGCTGATCTGGATCGCAGACGTCTTTGATATTTCCCAAAGCCCAATTGAGGACGGCGATCTGAACAAAGCAAGACCAAAGAGTCGCAATAAATTGTGCCCAAAATGTGACTCTTTGCGGAACCTTCATGTAGTGGGCAAGCTTTTGATCTTGTGTGAAGTACAGTCCTTGGTAGCAGGTGATGTATCCGTACATCTTGAACATCATCATGGCAAGGGGTCTACCGGGTTGCATATAACCAATGATGAATTCAGTAATCTACAAAATGAGTTAGAAACAAGATATGGGACCCGGAAGAAGTCTTCCCAACTTACCACATTAAGTCCGAGTTGCACGTTTGTTGTGGCTTGGACGATTCCGATCGGTAAGTAGAAGAAGACGGATATCAAAATTGCGATGATAAAAGCCCACCATGTGAGATGGGTGTCCCAAACCAGACAGGTGACAAATCCCAGTGCAAGGAATACGGCGAAACTGACCATAAACCTGAACGCGGAAAGTTAGTAAAGTTATTCCTAAGCTGACAACACGCCGGATTTACATACCACCAAATTGGAGCTTGGGGGTACTTCAGCATCATCTTTTGATGTATATCGGCGCCCTCAGACCTAGAGGCCCTCAACTTGTGCCAGATATCAGTACCATGGTAGAGATAAGTATGTACAATCACAGCAATGATAGCTGCAAACGAAAGTCCGTATGCTAGAGCAAAAGTCGTGGATAGGAACAGAGGTGAGTAAGCTGCGTATTTTTCTGGATCGAGTGTGTATTCAGGAGTCAGAATCTTGGAAACGTTGTAGGCAGCACCGGTGTTGTCGAATGATCCACCAGTTGACATTGGGAGATAATCAGAATACCTGATATAATATTAGATCGTGATACTCTGCCAGGAAACACATCCATTCAAACGGGGTTTACTTACAATGCACCAGTAAAGTGGATGCCTAGACTTGTGATGATTGTGAAAATCACAACACCGATCATAGTGTTTCCAATGGCGTGGAATGGATACACTAACGGGGATCTGAATCATGTGTCAGCGACCATTTCTCTCTTATTCGACAGGATGCGATGCTGAACCAACTTACAAAACGAAGGCAGTGATGACACTCCAGTCAAATGTCAAAGGAATCAATGAAAGACCTGTCTGTCCTCCAAAAACCTGGTTGACGGTCACGTTGTTTGGAGCAATCCAGCAAGCAAAGGTAAATGTTGCCAGCAAGGGGGCAATCCACAATGGGAACCACTCCCAGACAAAGATAGCTCCCATGACAATAAGGAACCACTTGTAACGACCAATTTTCCAGCCGGAGAGCTGAAGGGCGTCGGGTGTCTTCCTGGTATGAATAGTCTCGACTACGGGTTTTTGGTTAGCCACATTGCAAAAGTCGCAAATGTAAAGTTTTGCGTCTAAGGTTGGACTTACACATGGTAGTCGTGATCTATATTGACAGTCAGCACGGTCGCTAAAAAGGTTGCATCAAATATTCTTACCAAATTCGATGGCCATATCATTGCAGCAGGCTCAACGAGCCACCGCCTAGTCAATCCCGCCAATCCGAGACCAAGCATCTGGCAAGTAATTGTGAGAAGGAGCTGATATCCCCAACCGAAGTTTTGACCGTCTAGAATGATTAGTAACGTGGTTCTCTAACTTGACAAAGTTCGTTTTATGACGTACAATAAACTTGTTGGGCAAGCAAGACATCGGTGGAATATGCAAACGTTCCTCCAAATGAAGCGTTGGCCTTTTTTATTCGTCAGCCAACATAAAATGACCCAGCACCTCAGACTTGGAGTGGATGACTCATACCATAATCACTATCAGTGCATGTTCCTTTTGATTGAAAGAACCCGGGTTCAAAGACCATTCCTTTCCGAACGTTCTAAACTTCTTCTTTGGCATGACTGGCAGACATTAGATGCGCTTCCAGAAAATGATAATAGATCCCTACCATATGTCCACGCAACACCAAATGGATAGGACAAAAGTAGTGTCACAACAGGAGTCAACGCAATTGACGGGTTGCGGAGGGAGAAAAGCATGTTGACGGCCGAACCGATTGTCGTCCACAAAATTCCGATAACCCAGCTATTACAGCATTAGTGTCATCCGATCATTAAAGACAAACTAGACGTACGCGCGCACTGTATTTGCAGATGTCTCGTCGTCATAATTTCTGACGGCTGCGCGTACTTCTGGGTATGGCGAGTCTTCTTCGAGGAGGTTGACCTCAACGGCAACCTTCTTCTCGAGATCGTCCGCCCGTAAAGCTTCCGAAACCACCGCAATGCTCTCCTGGGGAAGGTTGGGATCCCATTTGTGCTCGATTTGGAAAGCTTTTAAATCAGCTTGTACGGCTTGAGCGGTGTGAGGACTGTGATGAATTAGCGATAGCGATAAACTTGAACATTCGAAGACGTACTTGTCTACGCCAGATGACAAGCTATCTGGCTCATCAGGTCGCGGACCCGACCTCTTGAATAATCCGAAAGCCATGTTGGCGCGTCAGTTGTTTCGAAAGGTAACAGACAGCAGACGATGGATAAAGCGATCTTCGGTCGGTGGGAAATAGAGTTGTACTTGTATTCACTTGTAATCGGCAAAACATCCTGGACCAAGAGTCCTCCCGATAACGTTCACCCTGCACTTGCTCAAGCGTTGCGACGATAGCACCGACACTGTGGACGTATACGAGGAACTAGAATTCTTTTGGAAGAACCTTATCCTCGGGGAGTTAACAGATCGACCAAACACCTGCTCACGTTGTCAAGTTACTGTTTCTGACCTGCCGAAAGAGGATGCGACACCGTGAACTCAAGTCGTGGTGCATCTGTATTGCTACCACGGATTGGTCCAACATAAATGTAGCCGTTCGGGGTCTTCCCGAGGCTCAATGACCATCCTAGATAATGTAGGACGAAATGAGGAGAATCTTATCTTGCCATACCCGGAGCATGATACTGCATCTTCACCCTGGTCGCCATCCCAACAACGACGATCGCCTCTGATACACGACACCAGGTCAGAGGTTGGTGTTGGTAGCCGTCATGCGCCTGCTCGTGCCACCCTCGAAACGTCGAGAATTCCAGGATGAAAACAGATGCAGCTGAAAATGCTTTGGATACTTGAATCCTTGGTTGTCCCTTGAGATTGTTAATATCGGTTCAACAATACACACTTATTAATGGCTCTCTTCAACGGCTGTACAGACGCCACTCGAAACGCCCCGGACACAAGCATTGACAAGCTTATCGTGAGAAAGCTTAAACAGCTCTTCTCCACCTCTCCATACGCCAACGCGGCCTTTGCCCGAAAGGCGGAAAACACCCCACTTCTGGAGAATAACTCTGGTTGGTGCTGATAGAACCTTCAAAGCTGGATTCACGAGAGGCCACCAATAAAATGCCTCCAACAAGTCCTGGTGCCGAGATTGATTGATCGAGGAATATAACGCCGATAAGCCAGACGGTGAATGTAGATCGATGGCGAGCACCACCAACACCAACCCCCAAGCGCGATATGATATCTCGATTAAGAAGGAGGGCGCACGACTTCCCCTACAACGCTTATCGTGACAGGATGAGTACATCCACGAGGAATTCGTTTCCAGATTCACTGAAGGATACATCTGCCGTCCCGGGAAAAGACTGGCCCCTTGATTAACAAGACGCAATATAAATGGGTTCAAGTTGAACAGCTAGTGACCATCTCCTGTCTTTTACCAGAGTTTCCAGACCCGGTTAGAGCAGGCGGGTAGCGACTAATCCTTTACCAATGGCATCCATCAATTGATCCAAGTTGCACCAATTGTCCATGGGTTCAATGCAACACGACAACCCTTCCGGGAAATACCAACGACGCTACTCAGAAACAGCAGAAGCAGAAGGAGCTTATCGCGATGCATATGTGTGGCAAAGGCCGAAGCACAGCGTACCCGCTTGGCCATTAAGAGCAGCAGCAGCCAGTAAATTGGAATACCTTGCACACCAGAGCGGAATCCAGCAAAGATAAAGTCAACTAAATAAATACAGATGGGAAAAACAGACAGAGAGTGCGGGTGATGATTTTTCCAAAATCTGCTGCAAATTGAAGATTCAATTCAATGGTTGTGCTCCGTAGAGGCAAGGATTTCATAATAAGCAAGTTGATAGACGGGCTTCGTACAAAGCGAAGCGTGATATACTTCCCAGAGATGTGTTCGCGGTCCTGAGGTTAGCATCACTGTCACTGCGTTTACCGTGTCGAGTCCCAGCATCTTCATAACATCGACGAATATGAGACCGACCTCCTGATTTCAGCGCAGAGCAATGTGTACAAGTACATTCAAGCACAGAGAATGCAAGTCGGGGCAGTCAAATCGACTCGAACCTTACCTGATCACACGAGGGCAAGAGAATGGTATCGCTGGCGAGGCAAGATTCAGATAGTAGCATACGCACTAGCATAACTAACCGAAGAATCAGACACATCTACCGGATCACTACTTCGCGAGTATCGTGTGAACTTGAAGTATCCATGATCCGATGGAATCGTCCCTGCTTCCCTCAGAACATCAATAGCGGCTAGCACGACACCAATGGGATGTCTTCCGCAAACAGTATTGTCTGTTTTGTCCATGTTATCCAAGAAGCTGTCGTGGGTGCCTGCTTCGATTGCATCCATTGACATACGATCCAACTTCTCAATGCTTTCGTGGATGGGGGGATCCGTCGGCGTGGCAGCATTGCGCGACTTCGGCAGGTTGTGGCCACCGCCCTGACTGACCACTTCTGGTGACGGGTTGTTGGGTATGTAGTATGTATATCTGAATCTCCCTCCCCAATGGCAGAAATCCGACGAGATCACGAAGACCGAGGTGGGGTCCGCAAGGTAGGAGGAGAAGAGCTTCCCGTATTCCTTCTCCGCGGCGGGAGCGGTGTTTCCGACCATGACGGGTACAAGCTTGGGATAGTCTGCTGGAGAGTCGAAATGGCGGGACAACATGGTGTAAATGTATGGGCAGTGCATTTCCAAACTGTGCTCGGCTTCATCCACGTCGCGGGGGATACTGTCGAACTTGCCCGTGGCCTTGAGCTCTTCGACCGTGGCTCTGTCGACCACCAAGTCTCCTAGCGGAGTGGCATATTTGGCATGGCTTGTGATGGCACAGCCGGACAGGTATATGGTATGTGAGGGTCCGAGGAGGAAGATTCGTTTTGCGTTTGAGAGGTCGAGGGACTTGTATGCCCAGGCTGCATTGTCCGCGCAATAATCATAACCTGCGTGGCTGGGAGTTGTCAGCAGATGTTGCTCAAATTGATTGAATTTTGAGAGATTCTTCGCATTACAGAACGACGCACTTACGGCGCGATTATGACTCTAGCTTTGGGGATAGGTAGCTGTTGCTCGTCAAAAGCTGCTGGAACGGCCGCCAGATACCCCTCCAACTCGCTGGAAAGAGCTGTACGATTAGCCTTGTACCAAGATCCAGCATGCGATGCAGAGCGCGTGGTCATTTTGGCAGAGAAGAGAGAGATAGAGAGAGATTCGTGAGAGAGATACTGCAGTCGAGATGAGAAGATTCGATATAAAATCAGTTGAACGGTAGTTAAGGTGGCAGAAGAGGTGTTGTGGTTATCTCGAGAAGTCTCACTAGATCCAAGCTCCCACAGGCGTCACGTGGGAAACGAGCACCTGACCCTTGTACCTACTACCGAGGCCCCTTTTCTGCACTCGCGCATTAGACTTTTTACCCCGACGTGTAATATAATAGATGCGTTTAAGCTAGGTACCATTGCTTTGGGGGGTATACGTATATGCCGTATTCCCTTTTCACAACAATTCCTCGTCTCTCGTTCCACCCGAACCGAATATAACCCAAAACTCCCGATTCGATCAACGGCAATGAAACGCTTGCCGCACAAGAAATCGAGGAGGGGTTGTCAGAAATGCAAACAACGTCATGTCAAAGTAGGTAACACTTACACACCCCCCATGCACCAATTGGATGTACGTATGCATTCATGAGGTACAAAAACGCTGTACTGATTTTCTTAGTGTGACGAGACGAAACCTGCTTGCCAGAAATGTCTGAACGGCGACTTTCAGTGTTCATATCTGGATAATCAATCTAGCTCGAGAGAGCCATCCATTCATACACCTGGTTCCGCTGCCGCTGTATCATCGGTAGCCGACTCTACATTGTGGTCTGCTGAGCCTCAGGGTCCTTTCCCCGGTAACCTGAACATGATACATCTAAAACTACTACACCATCTCGAGACCGGAGGACCGTTAACAACCGTCATCGAAGCCGACGAGGAACACCCGGGAGATTCGATGCAAGAAACCATTCGTTATGCGCTGACAAATCCGTACCTGATGCATGAAATTCTCTCATTCTCTGCCCTCCACTTGAGCTTGGTCCATCCCGCTGAGAGGGAGAGATGGAAACTCCAATCCACCGAGCTACAAACAAATGCGCTCAGTCTTTTTAATAGTATGGACGACGATTCAAGGGCGGATTTTGTTCCCTGTTTTCTGTTTGCCTCGATCTTAGGCTCTCACTCGATGCACGATGTCCTGTCGTCGGGAAGCGACGAACTCGGACCCTTCCTTGATAGATTTGTCGAGTACCTCCAAATCGTTCGAGGAGTTCGTGTATTGCTTACTGATTCAAATTGGAATTCACTGTGGGAAACCCCTTTCCGGTACTTAATTCCAACTGGGAATAGGATACCAGATCCCTCTACTGCATGCGCCCCAGAGCTGGATGTATTAGCAAGCCTCCTTCAAACGGCCGACATCAGTTCGTCGACCATGCAGGTATATCAGCAAGTCTTGAATCAATTGAAATCGGCGTTTCAGTCGCAGGCCATGATCGTTGATGGACCAAGTAAAGCAACCGCCATCCACGCCATTTTTGCATGGCCGGTACTCGCTCCTCCTGAATACGCAAATCTGCTCTCTCGGAGACAGCCGGAAAGCTTGACCATTTTGGCTCATTACGCCGTATTGCTGCATTATCATAGAGATGTTTGGCTCTTTGGCGACGGGGGAAGAAGATTGATTGAAAGTATTACGAGGCATCTGGGCGCTTTTTGGGTACCATGGCTAGCCTGGCCGATCTCCGTGCTGAACAGCTGATTTGTATTCAAAAGATACTTGTATTTGGTCAAGTAAGTCTTTGAGTAATCTAGTGTTGTGGTAAAATTGCTACACTCCTATAAGAAATACCACTAACAGCTTGTGAGGATGGATGGATATCAAACCTGTTCAAGAATTATAAGATTCTTCGCTGGAGAACCTCAACATTATTTCATGAACTGCCTGTCTCTAGCGCTAGTTCATAAATCCGGTGCCAGGCCATCGCAGATTTGTAGGCCCGCAAAGGTTTCCTGAAATATATTGTAGGGGCATAAAATCCGGCAGCCACACGTGGCGTCTTTTCTAGACACGTTTTTGACCCTCCATACAATATCCTCGACTTTTTGAACGCGAGTCCCCTCCTGTGTTCTTGATTTTGGAGGAATTGTGTTAATCGACCCCGACGAGATGATACCGACGAAATTGAGGCTGTCAAAATTCTCGATGTTCGTGCAACCATTCGACGCAGCTAGAGAAATCTTCGGTGTTTTGTCGATACCACAGACAGCCCAATCAAAAGCTCCAGGCGATAACAATCACTTCAATGGGTGGCAGATGCTGTATTTGTGCAACTTTTGGAGACGCAACTAAGTTCCATGAAGAACACAAGGCTACTCTTGGTACCGGATGGTTTCAAAGGTGTAATTATCGTTCCGGTGACAGGTTCAGAAAGTCATATAATGAGAGACCGGTCTGGAGCACGTAATTTGGATATAAGTCATAAACACCGAAAGCAGGTACTCCATCTATGAGATCATTTACACTACTGGCGTTTTTGCCATTCTCGGAGGACAATTCAGAAGATACCAGCTGCTTTTCGGCAAGCATACGTTTCGAGCGCAAGTTATATCATTGATATTTTACTTTGACACTAGCCAAGTCCGAGGAAACTCGATTGACGCTGTTTGTGCTCATCCTGCACCTTTTCCGTTTAAACGCTCCCCACCCAAAAGACGATTGAAGCTAGGCAGGATTTTTCAACGCACGATGCCCTTCCGCTGCTGGCCGGCTGTCGTATATCATGAAGGCTAGTGTCACTCATTCCACCGTGCTCATCTACCTGAGCAAACCTTTCACGCGATATATCACTGAATCAGCCAGCATCTTACACTTAGACTTCAGCGGTTGACAGATGAGACGATTAGAGACTGTACGACAATCACTCACGACCAAACGCCCACCATAGTTGAGTGCTGTCGCAAGGCTTTGACGGCAAGAGGTTCGGCGAGATTGAGAATGTATTACCATATCATACGTCGTATTTTTGGTAATGCGGTCAAAATCAACTAGGTCACCTTCGAGAGCAGGGTAGATTTGTGGGAGACCTTCCTTTTGTGACTTTTTGGTGGTCTGAAAGAACACATCTTCGAACCACTTGTGGCATCTATGCAATCTCCACAACCTTGCTTCGGATACCACCGCTCAACGCAATTGTAGCGTTGCCTTTGCCTTGAAATCTCTAGAGCTAAATCCCAACTGCACCTCAAATTGTCCAGTTGGTATCAACCAACGTTGGGAAACAACATCCCAATAACTCAGATCTCGTCTCTTGAGTAGGAACTCCACTCTGCGCTTTTCATTCGGCTTCAAGAACACCTTTTCAAAACCACGGAGAGCGCGTACAACCTTTCCGACAGGAACAGAATCCGGTAATCCCACATAGAGCTGAACTACAGTAGCACCAGAGCATTGACCTGTATTCTTGACTTCACCGACCACACGAACAACATCTGTCCACAAATCAGGATTTCCTCCCTGCTTGATGCCGAGTCCTGGATTTGGTTCCGCGGAGGGGTTCTTGAGGAGGGTGGTGAGCTTCATGTTGCTAGAAAGCTCGAAGGTTGTGTAACTCAAACCGAAGCCAAATTCGTAGAGTGGCTCGATATTGTTAGCATCGAAATGTCGATAATCAATCATTTGGCCCTCGGTAAAATTGGACTGCCACTCAGTTGTTGTAGAGACATTAGTGAGGTTGACTGTTGGAATGTCGTAATCCGACTCGTTCTTTGGAATTGTGTAAGGGAGCTTGCCGGATGGGTTAAAATCTCCCCACAAAATATCGACAATAGAGTTTCCGGTCTGTTCTCCTGGAAGATGTGCCGCGATGATAGCTGTGACATTTGGGTTGTTTGCCCAGGGCATAGTATTAATACCAGCTGAGTGGGTTATCACTACGGTATTGGGACATCTTAATGCCACATTCTTGACGACGAAAGTCGAGTTCCAGTCTGCTTCCCAGTTTCGACGGTCAAAACCTTCGCTGGCATATGTCTTCAAGAATACGAAACATACATCTGGATTTGGATAGATGCTGTTAAAGTCGTTACGTGCAAGGACGTTATTGTCAAGGATGTATTGTACCCTAGCTCCGGTTCGTTGTGCGCGGGCTTTGATTGCGTCTAATGGGGATACTATTGAAACGCATGTTAGCAAAACTATTTTGAAGTTTTTGAGGGATCATCAATATGGCCAAAACAACGGCCTGAAAGATACATACCAATATACGTGTGTCTGCCAGTACCAGATCCGCCTCCAACATCAAGGGTACCAAACTCAGGACTTGTTGCCACCAGTTCACCAGGAAATGTCAACCCAGCTGTCAGATCTCCTGCATCATTGCCAAACACACCAATATTTTTGATCTTCTTTGTGTCAATGGGCAGAATGTTTTTCTCATTCTTGAGAAGAACGCTACCTGCAGATCCCAGGAGGCGGATTGTTTTTGCATGGTTTCTCCGCACATCTCGTGACATTGGCTGCACCTCGATGTAAGAATTGTACAGATTCGCCAGTACGCCCAAGGTTCCAGGATCTATTGTTGGATAGTCTTTGTCCTGACCGAGTAGGTAGTATGGCATCATGATTCGGCGGACCATATCGTCGACTCGAGCAAGGGGTAAAGATCCATTATTGACAGCTAAAGTGATGTTACCGCCAAAATAAGAACTGCCAGTGTAGATGGAAGCCAGGTCATACGATCCAGGCATGTTCAAGTCCAGTCCTCCTGCAGCCGAACTCACACCGGCGTGAACTGCAAAGTAATCAGAACTAACGTATCCTCGGAATCCCAGTTCGCCTTTCAACAGTCCGTTAAGTGCGGCGTCGTTCTGGCAAGCGTATGTTTGGTTGACACGGTTGTAGGCGCACATGACGGAGACTGTTCCGGCCTTGACGGCGTCGTAGAAAGGCCACAGATAAAGCTCATGCATAGTGCGATCATCAACATTAGAAGAGATGGCTTCGATTTCGGTTCTGTTTCGTAGAAAGGTATTGCTCCTGTGGTTTTCTTGCTCGTTGGCGATGAAATGTTTAGAAACCGATTGCACGCCAGCATCTTGTATACCACGAATAGTGCGATCCATGGCCACACCTGTCAAGTAAGGGTCGGGAGAAAAGCCTTCCCAGTTGCGGCCACCAAGAGGATGACGGCCCAACGGTCCAGCTGAAGGTCTATATTAATCATTAGCTTCATTTCTACAGCTCAAAGCTTGGTTTCGCATACCCTAAGAGCACATGAACACCCTTGTCTCTAAATTCATTGCCGAGAGAATTTCCTCTCTCATAAATGAGATCCCTATCCCAACTCGCGGCAGCAGTTAAACCGGCTGGGAAGACACTCATCAAATCCGCACGATTGAGCGCAGTTGGGCCATCCATAGAACAAAGCCCACCGAAGCCAAGGTCAGGGAATGCTTCCAACGTTCCGATACAGCCACCACCAGCCGAGCTATTACCAGTCACCATCTTTGCTTTCTGTTCCAAAGTGAGCTTGGCTATGAAGTCGTTTGCTTTTTGGGTGGCTTGGAGGAGCGCGTTGTCTAAGGTCACACGAATGTCAGTTCTTACTCATAGCTCAAAACTCCAACGTTGGAAATAGTACCTGAAATGTAGTCTGGGGTGTTCTTTGACCGACTGGAAACTTCATCCTGGCAAGTCACCACGCTCAGAAGTTGCGTGGTGGCCAGGAGGAACGGGAGACCTGAAAGTATATACATGACTGGACAGCGAGACGAGCTTCTGATTCAAAGAGGAAGTTTGAACTGCGTTGTGAGTACTCCCGAATTCAACCTTGGATATTTGGCTCACTTTATACTTGCGCGGCCGATTTTACTTTTTCATTGTACCGTTAAAGACGATACATGATACCCCATCTTTCAGCATCTCTCGGCCTTATTATGAGGTCGACTCCAAGCCTTGAAATCGAAGGACAACGGCTTAAAAGGCCGAAGGAAGGCCCTAGATATTTGATTTGTCTGAACACGAGTAGATATCTTGTAGACCATGTTTACTTCTCCACATCGCGAGAGCATCGATGTGGGGATTCATAAGTATGGGGAGGAACAGCTACCCCGCAGACTCCACACGTCCAAAAGCTCGCCATGTCAGTTGCCTAATGATCGCTTCGAAAGCCATAAAATGAATCTTTGAACACATCACCCCATCTAGCCAAGAAAACATCTCGGTGGAATAGATGTACTAAATATTAGTTCAATGTTCTAGAGCGCTGTGCGGCCTCGCAGCAATTTTTGTTAGTGAAAATTGACCATAGATTGGCTCTCGTATAGACTAAGCCTGGTCTCTCTTTTTACCCCATTTCTTTTACTTGTCTCGGACGTCCTTACGACAAGTTCAATTCAAGCATACCTTATGTCTAAGAAATTCGAACGTATGCTAGGAAATTCGTCCAGTTTTGCTAGAATTTATATACACTGACTGCAGTTCCCAGCGGGCAGATATCGTACAAAAGGTACGAGAGAGTGTGCGACTAAAGATGGAAATGCGAGGAGGTATACTTCGTAAAATTGGAAAAGAGTATGGCACGTATGGGTATATTTGATCATATCTGACAGGGCGGCGGATGGGGAATGGCGTCGTATCGTGTCGTATGGCCGTATTGTATACGGTGCTATCCGAGAAAATACGCGACTATTACATGTCAAACGGTCAAACGACAGTACGAACCGTTGAGGCTGGACTGCGAGATATTATTATGCAGAAATAAATCATGGGGAACGAAAAGAGTTTGGACATGTTTTCAAAATATCCAGGCACTGTTTGCTACAAAAGTGCTATTGTTCAATGAATCGCGCTCGTTGTTCTTGAAGGCAGTCTTATTAGTTAGTTCCCTTGTCATGTTTTTCTTGAATGTCCGCTGTATCCCGTTTCCTGAGATCAACGCCTCATGGAGACGGCGTGCTCAAAGCCTTAGGACTTAACTCTAGCTCCTTGAATAAGCTTCAAGACTTCTCCGCGACAATGTAATGGGACTTTTGTCCGCAGCGCTCGCGCAAAAGTCATCTGTGTCGTAAACTCGTAGCCTCGATTGGACAACCCCAAGTCCACAGCTCGTGATCCATGGACAGCCCCTGCTCAGAAGTGCTATGTGATTCGAATAAGGAGTTAAATCTGACTTGGCCGCCAACGAAGTCACTTCTCGACAAGATATATTCCGTGTAAGCCAATATTTCTTCACGGATCCAGTAAGCAAAAGAGATATGTGCCGTCATGATCTTGAATTCCGGATTCACAGACTCAAAAGTCGCAACATTTTATCATGGTGTTGGGTTCAGTATCGAATGGGGTCGGGGTTGACCACAATGCTATGACTGGAACAGACAAAAATGCTGAAAACCGAGAACGTTTATGAAGGAAAAACCGAACAAGAAGGCTTGGCGCCACGGGAAGGTTGCACTGCAAGCAAAGGCCGCACATGAGAACGCTGTAGCTCATGGCAAATGGCATCAGGATGTAGGTCGGATTATCTAAATAAATAAATAAGATTATAATAAATGAGCTAAACAACCATCCCCCACGACACGCAATGTGGAATTTCTGCGTGTGTATCGGTAGTCAATCCTGCTTCATTCATGCTACCTTACTTTAACTTAATTACCTAGATTTGGTAATTATAGATTTTTTTCATTACTTATATTTACTAATAGTAAATAAGTATAAGAGAACTAGTCTTGGAAAACAATAAAACTTTTCTTTTAAAAAGATCTTTATAAAGAATGTTAAAACTCTTATTACTACTAGTACTAAACAAATTTACAGAAAGGTATCTTATACTAAGGGAAAGGTTAGTGTACAAATAACTCTACCCTTATTGCCCGACCTTAAGAGAAAAGGAAACAAAACTAGGGTATATACAATCTAATAATCTATCTAGCAAACTAAATCTAAATACTGTAGATAACAATCTATCATTCCGCCCCCGCCGCCTAGGACTTAGCCGCGTCGGCACTCTCAGCTGTTAGTTTACTTGCTGATTCCGTTGGCGCACCATCATCGTAAGCAATAGCCAGGTATTTGCCTGGGTAGTATTTGGCTGTCCACATCTCAGCCAACATGCTCTTATTAATATCCTTCAAGTAGTAGTTCAACGGGACACCAGAGGTACCTTCCTCCGCTTTTTTGAGGTAGTCCTCAAGTGCAGTCATCATTGAGTTGACGTCGATAACCTTGTTTTTGCCGTCCTCATTTTCTGTCAATGCAGATAAAGCAGCCGTCATCTCGTTATTCTTCATGGATAACATTTGAGCGCCCGTTCTCGAGGTGTCCGCTGCTTGCTTTACGCTGTCCTATTCGGCGACACTGGCATTCTGCATTGTCGTCAGCGCCTCGAGGCTCGACTTCGGATCAAAGTTAGCAAACTTTTCTACGCCCATTCGAACATCAGAGGCAACAATAGATGGAATTACACCCATACAAATCATTGTGGCATAGCAGTTGATATCCTGCGAGCTGAGAAGACTCTTGACGCTGTTAGCCATAGAGTTGTTGACACCAAACCCTCCAGCAAGACTTTCGTAAGCTGCAATCATATCCATGGCCCCCTTTGCTTGCGCTTGGAAGGTTTCAACAGCAGTGTTCATCTTGTCGCTGACGCTTGTGTTGTTGCTGTTCAGAATGTGGACCATGCCTACGAAGCTCGACCCAAAGGTCATGCCAGAGATAAGACTGAATTTGTTGTCGTCTTTACCTGCAGTTTTCTCCTTAGCGATCGCCAACATGCTATCTGTGCTCGTTGGATTGATTGTATCATCTTTGAACAGATGATTCCACACCTTGATTCCTTTGTCGACATTGATAACAAACGGCGCGAGAACGGATGCATTCTTGTGTGTACATGAGACAGATATGACCAAAGTGCCGGAGATGTTATGCTTCTTGACTTGATCGCTAACCTGGCTTGCAGCAGCCCGAGTCATCTCTGCAGACTTGCTTGAACCTAGAAAGCTTGCTGACGCCGACACATATGATGCGACACTGCCAGCTAACGACGAAGCTTCCTCTTTATTGGTATCGTTGGAAAAGTACTGTACATCCATGTTGAGTGAATCAGAAGCAAGCGGCATTGATTTGATTTGTGTCTTGACATAGTCCACTGGGCTCTCCATCTCCACGTGTACGCTCCTGATCGTGGCACGTAGAGGTTGAATTTTCTCCTCTGCCTCAATCTTCTCCTCGACGTAGTCTGCAGCCGCCTCCTCAATTTTGGCGTCTAATGTCTCAATAGACTTAGAGATCTTATCTGTTTTGATGCCCATGTTGAGAAGTTCAGTCCGAGTCATCTGAAGACTGCGCTTGGCTGCTAATAGCGTGTTGAGATGTTTTTGAGCTGCATCGACGGGAGCCTGCAGTCCAGATATGCGCTCGACCAATTTAAGAGCATCACTGCTCACGATGTTGGCCTGTACAAGCGATGGATCGTATGGGATCGAGGAAGGCATCGTGATAGTGATTTTAGCTGACGAAGCGATCTGAGAAGAAAGGCTGTTAATGATATAAAAAGTTTTATTTGACTTCGATGCTACTTACTCGTTGTTTCTATCCCACACCATGGCTGCCTGTATACGTTCTGACACTTTCTCATATGTTCTAATGCTAGGCGGAGTCGCCGAAAGGCTCCATGTAACATCTTTCTGAACGTCTTGTGTGAATATCTGCCCAGACACATAATAGAGAAAAAATTGCTGTATATCGCATAGCTGAGGGTGTGATGATTAGGTCATATTGCCCAGCATCTCCTCAGCTGCCGAAGAGAATCCGGCATCTGCTAGATTGCTTGCATACGAACGAATCAAAATTCACCTGAGAAGACTGCGCGAGGATGTAGCGAGTCTTTATGGGTGTGCTACACCAAGATCTGTATGGGTAAGATCTGACTAGTCAATACATAATATGTCGAGCTTTCAGCTACACTCAGGCGGGTTGGATTGCGCGCCGGTTTAAGCGAGCGCTCCATCCGCGCTCCGTCATCACCAGTTAAAAAGGAGGGCTTGCGTGCTCGACGATTATGATCTCCTCAAATGTGATGTCTGACACACTAAGTTAAAAGCTGATGACCTATGGCTGGCTCAACAGTCTCGAGGTGCGGTAGGGAAATCTGGCCAGTCGAAATATTTATATAGGATCCATCTGACTCTGGAATGTGAACTCTTCAAAGATAAACAATCCACACAAGAACGACACTGCAATTGATCACAATTTCTGAACCATTACTCTCAATGGCCTTGCAAGCATCGAAATATGTTGTTGCGGGTAACTTACTACATCTCCCTTTGTGGAAACGATTTTAACTAACTTTTCCAACAGACGCTAAAGATCGGACTGGAAGTGGAATCGTATGGCCACTGCTTCAACGATCCAGATGGAAAAGCCGACGACGTGCTGAAGGATCTCTATGATCCTAAAGGCAAAATATTGTACGTGTTTAGACAGGACACGAAAGGCAATCTCAACCGAGACACTGCACTTGAGCTCTCTGACAAGAATTCGCATCTTGTTGCGACCGCCGAGAGAGGCGCTGGGAAGAGCAGCATCCGCACTGAATTTATCTACGGTGGAGACATCGACCAGCCCTTGAGCCCCGGAGGCGAAAGGAGCAAGAAAGTTGCGCAACGTATACAACAATGGATAAAGTTATGGAGCTCTATCCCCCGCGAGGAGTGGAACACCATCTATGTTCAACCTGGTTTCACTGATACTCCGTCCCAAACATCCCACTTTCCAATTTACCGTTTAAATAAATGTGACACGGATCCTACCGTCATCAGCCAAATCACGATTGGAATGCCACTCGCGGGGTTTGACCGTATTGTCAAGGAAGAGCAACTCTATCGTCACTTCTTTGCTTCGGAGGCACCAAGTGTCAACGAGCGACGAAGAGAAGAAGCACAATGTATCACACAAAAATTTGTGAGCTGGACTGGCAAGCAACGTGGTTGGGTCGGCAATGGATATACCCAAAAGTATGCGCAGGAGACTGCGACAGGCTTTTTGTGTATCGTACAGGCGTACGTCTCTGCGGCCAGGGAGCAGAACCCGGAAGGTTATAACAGATTGAAGCTCAAAGTTCCATTCATGCCACGTACTGATTTTCGTACGATGCTTCATCTCGTCTGCGATACTATGACTTCCACGGCAGCCACGACCTTCCGCAAAGATTTGGCGACCGAGTTCTTCAGCCATGATCATAAGCCCAACCTCAAAGACTTGAAATGGAGTTTTGCAAGTCGAAAAGGATCGCAAGTTGGGGAGATAACCGTTGAGGTCACAAAGTTTTTGAAGGACCTGGAGACTGATTGCGGAGACACCAGCAAACTCACAGATCTGATTACACAGGGAGACACGAACAGCAACTCACAAATCGGTGCACTTGGGAGGAAGGTAGAGAGATTTCTGGATAGTAAAGATGACAAGTTACTAGGACCAATCCTGGAGTTTAGACAGTTAGAGGTTGTGGTGGCAAGTAAGCTAGTGCCGATGTTGCAGAATCTTGAAATGGAGGTAGCTAAAGTCCACAAAGAGGTTTTAAATTCAAACTCCGCCTAAAAGAGAAAAGCAGAGTTACTAATCTAGACTACTCTTAACTATTATTTCTAAATATTTCTTCCTTAATTCTCTTCTCTAATCTTTTACTATAACTAAGAGATATTGTACTTCTTTAGCCTAAATTAATTATAAGAACTCTCTATACATCTATAGTCTTAAAGTCTTTATTAATCTTTTTTTTTATTATTCTTTTATAATTATCTATTTAACACCCAATTCTTAATTTTTAAGAGGGCTATTATAATAGAGTTCTAGGCTTTTATATACTTATTAAGCTATCTACCTACTTTAGCTTAGTAATACTAGACTTAGTAAGTATAGTAATTTATTTTATTTTTAAAGCTATAATAATAAGCGTTAGATTTACTATTAACTATAGAACTATATAGGATACTAAACGGCGAATATAGTTATATTCTTTATTTACTATTAATTATCTAAAAACATATTAGATTTACTACTCGGGATTCCTAAAACATCTTAATAACTATTACCCTAGAACTGCTTAATATAGTAAATATAATTTAACAATTTATGTCTTCCGAGATTTGTATAGAAAGTCTCGAATTTTTGAAAATCCATATTCATCGTTCTCGGGCAATGCAGACTCGAAATCTTTGTTTGTCCACTCACGTGTCCCAATCTTAATTCCTAGTTTTTCTCCTTTACGATGACAAAAATCCAAATCAATAATGACCGGAGCGTCCCCATCCATTAGTATGTTCCTTGGATTAATATCGCAACGAATAAGATCTAAGTTATGAAGGTGCCGAATGCCCTGCTGGATACCCTTCCAACAGAGGTCAATGTCGAAAGGCCGAGAGTCCTCAGTTGCTCTATCTTGCAAAGTTGCACCGTAATTGACGAGGCAGAGGCCCGTTATTTTGTCATCCTCGACCACACATCGCAAAGGTTTAGCAATATTAGGATGGGGAAATGCTCTCAAGGTCTCGAAGACTTTTGCTTCGCTCAGTAGGAGACTACACATTTTTTCGGCTGGGCCCTCGGTGTCCTCATAAAACAGTAGACTAGGTCGCTTAGTGTAACAGTCTTGGGACAATGGCTGAGGTGCTCGTGTGGATTCTTCTGAAGTTGGAATTGGGATAAGGTCGAGTTCATGTATATCGGGTTTGGAATTCATGGAGTAACGACGAGTCGACATCGCATAGTCATATCGATCGGCCTCTCTAAGTATAATCTTTGTGTAGGCAAATGTCCAATCGTCATTCTCTACTTCCCACATCTCGGTTTGTTCGCAAATTTCCGTATTCTACTCTCGTTAGGAAATAGTAATTAAGTTATTGAGCGTACTTACTGAAAAAATCTATTGATTTTAGAATGACAGATGAAGTTTTGAATTGCCAATGACGTTCCAGACTACAGGTCGTGGATTGTATTTGCTTCCTTAGGAGAGAAGGAAGAGATTTTCTGCCAGAGCGGAACGATGAATGATAAATTACGAAATGCCTAGGAAAGTGTGGGAAGTACGTGGGTTTGCGAAAGCACGAAATTTTTCTTTTCTATATGGCGTGATGGAATTCCAATACAAACTCGCATTCACCGAATATCCGAGGCTCATATTTTTGTCAAGTAATTTTGACAACACTAAAACAAGCGAATAATTCACAGCACTAGAATACTATAGCACAACACTACGAGACGCGCTAACCTTAAGGCTATGGAAATTAGCCATTTAACACCAGAAGATAATGGGTAGAATCGTCTTGAGAATTAAGTTTTCAATTCTGTTTCGCTCGTGATACCCTTTATACTGGTAGTGGATTAATACCATCATCGGTAAGGTATGGGGTTCTCGTGTCTCATCGCCCGCCATCGATTACTGGCTCGAATCAAGTCTTCACATCCCTCTAAAGCCCACGCCCACTTTCTTATAAAACCCGGCGTGACCTCCCAGTTTTCTATCGACCATGGGTTTCCCCAATTGATGAAACATCGACGTCCAGTCGTGTAGTCGTCTGGCTCCTCATAATCCTCCATCTCGAGATCGCCGCTCTGAACGCGTGGACGAGTACCAAGGTGGGCAGTAGATGAGGAAGTCATGCAGTTCTTACCATCTGCAATAAAAGGCGCATGAGTTGGGAGCAAGTCCTCGAACAAATCCCTCAGCATATCCTCAGGCACAAAATCTACACCTTTCTTGATCAAATTGTCTCGAAACTTGGGAAAGGGGAACGGGTCAATCCAGGATGTGTGCGCGCAGGTCGTTTGTAGCTGAGTCGGATGAAGTGAGTTTGGAAGATCATAGTGGTTGGGCCGGTCCATGACAACCAGACCACCACAGACGCGTGTTGCGAACTGCGGGATGCGTGTGGTGGAATTTGACCCATCCAGAAAGAGTGCCTTTACAAGGATCAATGATTTATTGATCATCAGTGCATTGCCGACATTGTATTGAATCAAATGAATCTGGTGATCGATCGAGAGAGGAAGAACAACTCGGGAATCACCGGCAGCATTCTGAGTTCGGCCCCTTGTAAAGAACACTGTAGCTAACTCTTGCGACAATGGGACATGATCAGCTGGGTTTTGTGTTGCACCCGTATCCTGCTCTTTACATAGTTCGACTTCACATTGGTTTTGAACCGACCGAACACGTATCTTGTGTCGTCTTTTGAAGTTTACCACCCATCCAGTGGAAAAGGTTGGCGGCACAAGGCCCTTACTTTCATCGGAATGCTCCCAGATTTGACTAGCTTTTGAGGCAATTTCGAGATTGGTGACTCTAACAGACCGTCGTTCAATATCTTGAAGCCAGCACGTGAGCTCTGTTTCAATCCAGGGCCATTGGCAGTCACGTATGCGATAACGAGAATTTACTGGGCCGCCGTTGTCGAGAGATGTGAATTTATCGCTTAGACTGCGACTAATGCTCGACTGACTGATCTCGTAGCCATATTCTGCCTTGAACCAAGCTCTCAAGTCTGCATGAGAAGGTTTTGGAGTCGTTGACTGGAAGTATCGGCGTAACGCACATCGCTGCGAGTGAGGTATTGAGTTCCTGCCCCCAGACTGCCCTCGAAGTGTGGTCGGGGGCGCCATGGGGACAGAATCCGGCACTTTTGCGAGCGTGACTTCTACCATTGTTGGATATTTTCGTTGGAAGCTTAAGGCTTGAGATACTTGAAAAAGCGACTTTCAAGGCCGACTGATTGGTTGGATTTGTAATTCAATCGAAATAAAGTGTGAAGGAAGTTGTGCTAAGCTTCGGTGTCCTTGTGAACAAGAACCTCAGATGGCCGAGTATCCCTATAACACGACGCTCTTGAGTCAGTCAACAAACGGGCTTACAAATAGCTAACGTTTACCGCCGAGCAATAACTAGGCTAGATTCAGGCTAGGTATCCTTCAAAAGCGACGCCAAGGCTAAATCGTTGGATTAAAGTTTGTTGTGTTGCACCGTGCACGCTTTTCGTTTCAACATAGGGGCTCGAATCCCTAAAACGCGACGCAACATGCATTGAATTCTCACACGACGACGATATGGATTTATGCGTTTGTCCGAAGTCTTGTTGCGACTTGTTTTTGTATTGTTCAGCAATTGCAGTCCGGCGTTAAGAAATTTGTACATCCGTTGGCATAGGTATAATAAGTAGGCGTATCATCATGAACAAAAGAATGCCAGAATTCAAACACTTCAATTCCATTCGATCATATCTCATCTAAAGACTCATCTTTCACGTTCTTATCAAATCCTGCCTCCAACTCTAAATAAAATCAAGGATTTACAATGTCTCGCTACGCCGAAGCTCACAAGAACCCAGCAGGACCTGGAGATGCGCGTCCTACAGCTCTACAGATCATCAAAGATGAAGGAGTTGAAGGCAAGCTCGTCGGAAAGGTCATTGTTATCACGGGTACTTCTTCTGGAATTGGAATCGAGACAGCTCGTGCCCTGGCTCTCACAGGCGCAAGACTGTTTTTAGTCGCTCGAGATTTGGGCAAAGCCGAAAAAGCGCTCGAAGGGATCTACACCCCCGGAAAAGACGAACTCATTGAGATGGACAACACTTCCCTAGGAAGTGTACGCACCGCTGCAAAGACAATCCTCGAGAAATCTAACAACCAAGTCAACATCTTGATCAACAATGCTGGAATCATGGCTGTGCCAGACCTACAGTATACCAAAGACGGCCATGAGCTTCAATTCGGTGTCAATCATCTCGCACACTTTCTGCTATTCGAGCTCTTGAAACCGGCTCTACTCGCTAGTTCCAGCAAGAGTCTTTCGTCTCGAGTCATCAATGTTTCCTCCTCCGCTCATCACATGGCAGGTCTCAACAAGAACTCTGATTACAACTTCAACTCAACCGAATACACCCCTTACGGCTCATACGGACAATCGAAAACCGCCAACATCTACATGGCAAATGAGATCGAGCGTCGCTATGGCTCTAAAGGTCTGCACGCTACCAGCCTTCATCCAGGCATGATCCAGACCAATCTCATGCAATTCCTAGATCCGGAAGTCGTTCAGGGCATGCTAGCCGCCAACCCTGGAATCGAAAATAATTTCAAGTCGCCAGAGCAAGGTGCTGCAACGACAATTTGGGCTGCTATCGGCAAGGAATGGGAGGACAAAGGTGGAGAATACCTTTTTGATGTAGCAAAGACAGAGCTTGGCAAAGAGTCGGGTACTATGTTGGCTGAGGGTTATGCGGACTATGCCTACGACGAGGAAGCTGAGGCTCGTCTCTGGAAGGACTCCTTGAAGATTGTTGGGTTGACGGACAGTGCATGAGACTTTTGCTTCGGGGGGTCAGCTTCTATTGTAGCTTGCAAGAATAGGTCCAGATATTAAAAATAAATTCAATCTCACCCATGAGACATCTTGTTAGCTATCATGCCTTGGTCGCCGAAACTTCCAACATCTCATAATCAGATCAATATTTTCATAGAAACCAGTTCAGGCATAACGTGACATGCCCTGGAAGCGGATGCTGAGTTTCGGAATATGACTAGGGACTCCCTGACTCTTGTAAAGTTCACCAACATGATTCCGATGAAGTGTAGTAAGAGATCGGACATCGGAACTTGTGTGAAATTTGTTGATTTGTACGATTACTCTGCAAGTACTCTACTCTTCCAGGAAAACTTCTATAAAATCTACTACTTTTCAATGCGCAAACCGGAAATCCTTTCTCCTCGAACCCGACAGAGTTGTGTTATCCCTATAGTCCCGTTGTTGCTCCGGTGTCAACTTCGCCCACTCACGATCCCTCTGCTTATTTCTCTGCACATAATACCATTTTGTGAATAGGAAGAGTCCGATGGATAGAAAGTTGACAATCAGCAGGTTTCGATTACCGCGACGGTACAAGGGCTTATCGTCCTGGCGATACATGAAATTTGAACAAATGTTCCCGAGTTGCACTGACATGTTGTAGAATGCGGTGGAGACAGATCGAGCTCCGACGTTGTTGGAGTTTTTGGATGCCCAACCGACGAGAATGGCATGACAATAGGGATACGAGAGAAGCACTGTTGTTAAGGCAAACGTACCCCAGGCGTTGGTTAAGGATCCAGGCCAGAAGCGCAAAGCAATAATGCAAGGCAGTGTCCAGATTGGCTGGAGTATTGCGACCATAGCGCGTTGATTTGTTCTCTCACTTAACCACGTAAGTCCAAGGAGCGTGATGATGTGAGCAAGTGAGTATGGTATTGTTAGCAAATTCGTGTTGAATGTACTGAAGCCGAGTGACTTCAATGTAAGAGTGATGTAAGTTGCTGGTGGCGCTTGAGGGATGTAAGCAATCATTCCTATCGCGTATAGGGGCCAAAGATCATAATCTTTTGCCGCCTCCCAAAGACGGCGGGGCGTGATGGCTTGTCGATTGTGCATGTCACCCTTTGAAGGGTCGTCTCGAAGAACCCTGTTGACGACAATCTTGACCTCGCGGTCAGTGAACCACCCATTCGGTCTGAACCAGGTTTTGGTCTGTACTGCCGATGCTGGCATCATAAAGAAAGAAGCGATTCCAACACAAAGTGTGATGAGACCCTCGATCAAAAACAGCCACTGCCATCCGCTCCAGCCTTGAATACCCCGCATACGTAGAAGACCAAAAGCCATGAGCGAAGTGATGATGGTCGTAGTAGAGAGCGCACACCAAAAGAAGCTTAGTCGAGTTGGTAACTCCCGTGAAGTGTAGAAATAGGACAACCAGAGGACAATGTCTGGGATGAAGCCGCCTTCCAATAGACCCAACAGGCAGCGAGTGACATAGAGACCCGTTCGGTTATGGATTGCACACTGAGACATAGCGACAATTGACCAAAGACTAATTTGCATTGGGATCCATCTATCTGGTCCGATTTTCTTTGAGATCAACTGAGACGGCAGCTCAGCTAAGAGGAACGAGAACAGAAAAATGACGTTTCCAAAGTTGTAGTCTGTGGCTGTTAGTGAGTAATAATCAGACAGTCATGGTATGCATACCATTCGTATTGACTTTTATATCCTTCAGCAGATTATCGGCCGCTGCTTGAATCAAGTTGCCTCTGTCGACCTGCAAACCAAAGAACATGACACACTAGTGCCGCAATTATTAGAAACTCTTTCTCGACATAGATCGCCGCAAACTCACTGCCCACAAACAAACACGCCAGTCCAATCTTCTCACAAGCCTTCTCTCCTCTTCCTCGGTCCAAGTGAAAGTAGGATCGAAAACATGACGACACTCATACTGCGATTTCTCATAGGCTGTGGTCCAATATTCGGCAACCTCGGGGTCTAGGAAAGGATTCTTCTGCAATGCCAGGCCTTCTTCATCAGAATCCGAGATACTGGAAGTCAAGTCTCGATCTTTTGGTACAGGATCGCTAAATGAGGTAACGGTGTCGTAGTGAAGCTTGTCATGAGGCACAAGCTTCGCCGAGTCGTGTGGTTGGACAAAGGAGGCGGCATCTTTGGAGTTTGACATTGTGAATAAGGCTCCTTGGGGTAGTTTGTAGGCAGATAGTGCTACGCATCGCTTCTTATGGGAGTTCAATAGCGAGAGAACTTCAAGGGTGGTGGTAAATTGCGAGATCCGAACGACAATTGCGAACCTGCAGCAAAAGCCCACTGCACCCTCCACCAGACTCTAAGATTGACCTGGGAAGGATAAAAGACGGAAGGTGTATTCTAACAGGCAACTCATCCCGGTATGATATTTAGAGATGGTCGGGATATGCAAACATGCATGCCATGCACCCATCGCAGCGGGTACCCCTAGAATGCACCGTGACTCGGAACAGTTGACCAAAACCTCAGTTTTGAACGAGCAAACAAAACAAACTATCAATATTTCTTCTGAGCCAAGCACTTATCTTACCACTCCCTCAAGCTTTGCAACCGCTCTTGGTCACGAAGCTTAGAAAAATAGCCAAAAGCCAATAAGTTTCCACTAACACGCAATCGAGGTGGGCCATGAAGTGCTTGATCAAGCCGTGATAGCCAATTATACTGCGGATCACCCCTTAGGAAAGTCTCTTTCAATGAAAAAGGTTAGCAAGCGAAGTGGAAAGGGGGGAAGTTTGCCATCCCACCCCCACACTTCCTCACTTCAGATGCATAGCTGTATGAGACAATGCCGACATTGATGGCATCATGAAATAGGGGTCCTCTGATTGCTCAATTGAAGCGTTCTTTCCTGGGCCGCCATGTGGTCTGGACAATTAGAGCATTGTGGCGAGTTGAGAAAAGCTGTCCGACCATGAATACCGCGATGTGTTATCGCACCTATCAGCACCGTGCCGTTCGATGGACATAGCTCGGACTTATGAAAAGGACTTTGCTAGCAATTGGTTTTCTGTTTGCGATGATGGATTTGAGTTTTTGCGCGTTCGTTCGTCATATGCTCCATGTCGTGGCGTGCTTTGGTCTTGCTTCAACCGAAGTGGTTCACGTCACGTGCGTTGACCATCATGTCTCTCGGAAGGGGTTCTTTTCAAATTTAATTGCTGGACACAAAATGATTGAAGTCATGTTTAAATTAAATGTGTACTGAGATTGAAAATCAATTCAAGGAAATAGAGTTGATGAAGCACGACGCAAATAACAATTTATAGTAACAAATGCATCAATTGACTACTATTACGCTACTACAACATCAACCTAGATTAATCCAAGTTAAGGAAGCTAAGCCGACGCTTTTGCAGCTATCTGAGCTAGATCCTCGCGTCTGCTCTTGCTAGCCGGGTCAAAGAATGGTCTTTCTCCAACACTAACAGTCCTCACACCATATCTCTCACCCTGGTCCTCGATATCATAAGTAGCAGTGTGGAAGACAGAACGGTTATCCCAGATAGCAATATCATTCTTGTTCTGCCACTTGAATCTCACTTGAAGGTCGTGGTTGTCGACCAGCAAACGCGAGAACCATTTCAGAAGAGCCTTGCTCTCCAGTTCAGTGATACCATTGATATGAGAGATGTGACCACCGACGGGAAAGATTGATTTCCATCCGGTGACAGGGTTCGTTCGAACAACAGGGTGTACAGCTTTCAATTCCTTTCCTACATTGTCGGGAGAGCCACGCGGCTTTTCGTATATTTCAAAACCCCCTCGCTGTGCTGCTTCGATGAAGCCTGGTTGATGGAAGGTTGTGGTCAAGCCCTCCAGGAACTTCTGGTATGGTGCAGAAATTCGATCATAAATCTCATATCCAGACGCCCATAAAGTGTCGCCACCAGTCTTGGGCAGTATCTCCAACCTCAGACTTGAGTAGTCTGCCGGTGCGGGCTCAAAAGCAATATCGGAGTGCCATTGGCCGGAGTTCTGTTTCTTCCCTTTCGCTTCCGGTGAGTCGATTCTAGAATTATCCTTGTATAGTTTCTTGTTCAACTCTGAATCGATGGTGCTGATTTCTGGATCAGAGACACGATAATCTTCTCTTTCGGAGTTCAGAATAGGATGGATGTGGAGGCCAGAGCTGGCTGGCTTCCCCGACAGGATACCAAGCTTTTGCACAAGTTCTTTTTGAAGCTCAGCAGTCAGGTCATTTTGAGCACGGAAGAAGACCACTCCGCGTTGAGAAACTTTTGAGAAGCAACGTTAGCTGCTATACAGACATGACCTATTTTTCCACTTACTGATAAGCGCGAGTTCCCGTATAAGGTCGTCTGAATTAGAAGCTTTAATCCACTGAGCAAGTTTGGCATGAGGATACTCTCGCCCAATCACTGGCGTGGTGTCGAAGTGCTCATATTGATCAAGAGCACCAGTAGCCTTCACCCAAGGCTTTGAGTTGTTGGACTTTGCTGCTGAGACTGGGAGGGGTGCAACGGGTTGGCTTTCGGTTGCGGAGGGTGCCATGGTTGTGGAATTACTTTGCGAGGCACTGTTTCTGTAGACGCTTTGTGGTTTTGAGCTTCAATCCTTCTCGGGGAGTGGAAGATTCGAGTAGCAGTTTTGAGCGACAAGGAAGGCGAAATCATAGTTCAGGTAACGGATTGCGTTGGCATATATGTAGGCAAGCTTGGATAGAGAACGGAAATCAGATAGAAATCCTTTTTAGGAACATATCTTCCCCCCACGTATGACAACATTCTTCACGATCGTGACGAACTTATCTACAAACAAAGACAACTTCAAAATTAGAGGGCGAGAGCGGGGACCTGCAAGCCAAGAGTGGTGCGTTGATGTTTGGTGTATCTCGGAATTCGAAAAGTGTACCTAGGTAGGGGATGCGATTGTTTTCTAAGGAGGGGTGATTTGGTCATTCATACCCCGTCTTGCGCAACACTTGCGTCTTACGAATCATGGCGGGGAACTGCACAGTTTGAGATCAGCGACAAGACACCGTTTTGCAATGGGTAGACATTGTCCCACAAATTGTGACAACTAAGTTACCTCCCGCAAGATTGGAACTTCTGCAGTTGCTCGATCCGAAGGGTTGGTCGCTCCAGGTCCGTTGAGGTTTAGCACTACTGAAAATAATTGTCTAAAGTAGCTTAAAGCCCCAATCTCCTATTTAAATTGTACAGTACTCTTCCCATTGAAATCTCGTAGCGTGATTGAGATTATTTGAAGCGGTACTCAGTCCAGGAAATTGTGATATCGGAGACGGTTGCTGTATAACACGCGGTTCAAAATGCCAAATGTGTTCTATATTGGATACAAAGTAGGCGCTCTTGTAAATGAATCTAATGTAAACGCGCTGCAACAAAAAGGTATAATCTAAGTGTGAATGCTTCCGATCAAAAGGGAGTAAGATGGAGTAGGAATCTGAATCATTCAATGCGCTTCTTGCCCTCCTCTGCGTTGGTGTATCTCGAGGTACTTAGCCCTCGTTCATGTCTGGCAACGAATTGGCCAATAACCTTGTCCTTTCGTGCATTGGTGATGGCTTCATTGTAGCCTTCCGTAGCCCAAGGTCGTGGATTAAGTTTGGGCCAATTTACCTATCCAAATTAGCGTCGACGCACATGTAGCACCAAGCCAGCGACTTACATAAAGCATTCCATTTCGATAAATAAAGTTAAGACACCAGCAACCGACTGCAAACCAGAATAAAATGAAAATTCTCACAGGGAGAACTGCTGCGTCGGGCAGTCGTCGAGTGAAGGTCCCAACAAAGACAAAGAATGTGCAAAAGGCAAGAAGATATGGGATCGCCTGAATAAGTAGTGGGCGGCGGTCTGCAAACACTGTATAGGACGAAGGGTTGGGAAGGTATGTTCCCAGAAACAGATCGAAAGCATCCTGACGTGGCCCATCCATGTAATTATTTCTGATATATCTCGAAATTGAGTTTTGAAGATCTTGCAAGGCGCCTGCTTTTGTTCTCTCACCCGTGCGTGTGAAATCAGTTTTGAGAGCACCGGTTCCGGAATAAGATTTGGAAACGACGTCAGCATTGTCAGCCCATACTTTGCGAAACAAGAATTCGAAAGCAGCATCAGATGTGAATGTTTCGCCACGAGTGAGAATACCCAAATCTGTGAGTTGGCGGTTGAGAGTCCAGCGAGCCATCATGCTCTGTACTACGTTGGTTCGATCGAGACAGTCCATACAATTCGTACGGACTACGCTTGTTTGCCGGTTTCGTACCTCCAGACCACCCTCGAATGATGCAGGCATATCCACAGCCCGGAAATATTGCTGTTTATCGAGGGCTTCCTGCATTCTATCTAGAAGCAATTGAGCTCGATGCCATTTGAGACCCTTGGTCTCGTTATGAAAATCAAAATAGATGTAATGGATGCGATCGAATTCTTGCTGCCGGTTGCTTGGCTCAATGACACGAAACTTCTCGTCGGATAATTGATCTTGTGCCGTACGTTCTTTGGAGCTCCCGGATTGTAGAGCTTTGACTAATTGTTCATAAGCTTCTTTCACCTGTTTCTCACGACCTTTCTGGTTTACAAGATTGACTAGATAATTGTCCCCATAGAGTCGTATTTGCTCGTCAAAATGCGCTCTGGCAGCGGGAAGCGCGGACTCAATCCCTCGCACTTGCAGCTTAGGTGTGTAATGAAGCGTGTTGATTTCTGCCCAGTACACTGGAACACTGCCTCTTGTCTGTACGTAGGAAAGGATCTGTGCCTCTTTCCCACCAGAACCCCCCATCTTGCCATTTTGGATACCTCCCCCTCCAGCGAAACCCGCAGGACCGCTGGAATTGTCGTTCAAAACAATGATTTGCTCGGTCTCGTTAAAGTTCGAGACATGTCCTTGCTCATCAATTCCTCTGGACATGTATCTGGCCCCTGCTCGATGGCGGGAGCGCCGCGTAATCAATACGAGGGTCAATGGTGTTGACTTGACGGTCGTGTTTTGGATTTCAAGCATGCCAAACATAACAGGCAAGATATAGGCATCGGCGCCAGGTTGCTGGGCATGTTGGTGTCGAGTTCCAGATGTTCTGAAGTCGATAAGGTCAGACTGAATAAAGCGATTCCAAAAGAAGCGGTCGTCGGCGCGTTTCCATAATGGTTGGGCGGTGTCTAGCTGCGCCTGTCGCTGGAAGGAGTTTGTGATGTCGAAAGAGTATGAGAAATATAGCGGACTGGTTTTAATGAAAGTCTTGAGCAAGGTCAAGTATGTGTCTTCGTCTTGGTCGTGGAGGGGTCGTTCGCGAAGCGGGAGAAATTCCGTGGCAATGACTTTGTATATCATATGGCCCTTCAGTCTCTTGATCGGTTGGGCTTTCGTTATCACGATTATGTACTTATCTGCCATATCGTTAACTACTAATCGCGCTGTTCTCGTTGCGCCGAAAAGTCTTACCCAGCCGCAACTTGATCATGCCCAGTATGCCTGCAATGCTGGAAACGCGCTTCCCTCCCAACAATTGGCCATCATTGAGGCGGATATCTCCAGAGGGTCGGTCAACTACCAGCGTAGGGGCAGATGGAGAGGAAGGAGACGTGAAGGCGTAGTATGACGCCGAGGCGTGAACATTGATATCTCGAAACGGGAGGGTAGCCATGACTGTTGGAAAGCTAGCTCTAGGAAAGCGAGTTTGACGGCCCGAACCGCAGTTGAGATGGAGGCTAATGTGCGATCGAGAAGCGCATATGCCTGCTTTGCTGAGTTGTGGTTGAGATGGGATTACTTGAACTGATCAACAAAAGAAGGCTGGAATCGATAGCTGTCTTCTGTGAGCCTTGCCGACAGGGAAGCAGGGCATTTGAGCTTTACTAGGCCCACATCTACGTTTGGATAGACAAGGCTTGCCTCTTGATGGCAAACAGTGAACCAGAGGAACTTTGCAGATGCTGTTTTAAGGGAGTGTACATGTTCAGGCCCGGAAGAAGTAAATATCTTCTACGTTCATTGACTGAGAATATGTCTACAAACTACCTGGGTACCTAGGTAGACTTTCATGCTGCGATGCGTCGTCATTTCAAATCACGTGCCGTTACTTGTTACCTGGAGATGTGGGCGAAGGATTACGTGGCGTGGCTTGAGTAATGTCACTGTCACGTGGCGCTCATAGCGTCGCCTTCCTGAATCCGACGGGTCCCAGGTCCCTTCGAGACATCGTCACCCAGAGCTGCACCAAAGAATAGCACAACCTCTTCTTTCTACCTGCCCAACCCAGCAAAGCACGAACGAGCTTCTTCATATACCCGGCCACCAACCCGCTTTGAACTCTGGATTACCTTCCACCCATTCCTTTTCCCGACCTCGACTTAAGCAATCTCACCTTATCCAAACATGGCATCTCGCAGCCAGCCAGGCTCCCGCGCGGGTAACTCGAGATTCGCGCAGTTCAAGCTTGTACTATTAGGTAGGCAAAACGGCGGTCCCTGATATCTTCATTTTCCTCTCAAGACTAATTTAGTAAACAGGGGAATCTGCCGTGGGCAAGGTACGCCGACTTCGTTGTGCTGGGGGTGGTCTGGGACTAATACTTGTGTAGAGTTCTATCGTGTTGCGGTTTGTCAAGGTGAGCGCAACTGCAAAAGAGTTTTAAGTGTATCTCTAACCAGCCTCCCGCGCAGGACCAATTCGATTCATACCGTGAGAGTACCATCGGGGCCGCCTTCTTAACACAAACGATATCCCTTGACGACAATACAACGGTCAAGTTCGAGATATGGGATACCGCAGGCCAGGAGCGCTACAAGTCCTTGGCTCCCATGTACTATCGAAATGCGAACTGCGCGGTGGTGGTATATGATATTACCCAATCGGTAGGCTATAGATATAGATACGGCTCAGAAGTTGAGGCTGACAACGAGTGTGCTAGGCGTCGTTGGACAAAGCAAAGCAGTGGGTCAAAGAGCTCCAGCGGCAGGCAAACGAGAACATAATTATCGCCTTGGCTGGAAACAAGCTTGATTTAGTTACTGAACAACCCGACAAGCGTGCCATCCAAACAGCCGATGCTGAGGCATATGCTAAAGAGGCTGGATTACTTTTCTTCGAAACATCGGCGAAGACGGCAGAGAACGTGCGCGAATTGTTCACGTCGATCGCGAAGAAACTTCCATTAGATCAAGCCGGTCCAAGGAATCCAAGAGCTGGCGTTCGAGGTGGTGTAGAGCTTCGACCTGAAACGCCTGGAACGCAAAGCAATGGCCCATGTAATTGCTAGATGAGGGGTGGATATGATTACGGACATCTTGTTTTTCGACATTCGTGGCATACTTTCACGGCGATAGATATCTTCAACTTCTCCTGTTGGTCCAGAATGGGTTCTCAAGACGGATCCAAAATAGACCTCCCAACCAGAGGAGGTATTGCATGGTGGAATACTGTTTGGCACCTAATGAATCACCCTGTGCAAGCCTGATGGAGCAGCTCTTTTAATAAGTCGGTGTGGCTTGGTTTCGTGGTCTTGGATCGGTTGGTAGTCGAGGGAATATCCTCTTGCAAGGCGCGGGTCTTTTACTGAATTGAATTATTTTTGTTCTTTAGCATTTTGGGATGTAAGATATGCAACATGCAATAGAGCACAAACATATGAATCTTGAACGAGACAGTGCTGGCAGTGCTGTGCTGGACAATTTATTTCCTCGCTGATGGCTACCATACGATGTGAGATTGAAAGCCCTTTCAGGGACTGGGAAGTTTTATTTTGGCCACAGCGACTATTTCCATTGTAAATTTGTCCTTATTATATCCACTGCTTTAAGAATACCCCTTGAGGGACCATTAATCGATTCCCTAGTCAGGACTACGTACTACCAAGGTAAATCGTAAGTACTCGTAAAGGTCTTAATGGTCGAGTGAGTGAGTATCATACCGATGATGAAAGCTTGGCACTGATGCTTGAAGCTTTGACCACCAAATTGCGAATGCGGAATCTCAACCTTGGGTTTTTCGCGAACCTGCCAGGTCCAAGTCGTATCAACAACCTCAACATCCATTCTCCAACCCTCGGCAGCCCGTCATGCTGCGCGCATCTCTTCGCTCACCTCGGGTGCTGGGCCCCAAGTCGGTTTCTAACACGGCCGGCCTTCAATGGCACTCCATTCAAGCAGCTCGGGTGAGTTCAGCGCAGCTTTCTGAAGCTCGACATACGCATGTCTATTTATTGCTCAATTGCCCGTTGCCTATTGCAAGTCTGCGAATGCTAACTTTTCTGTGCGATATAGAGAGGATATGCAGAGACAGCAAAGCCATCCATTGGCAATTCAAAACCTGTCGTTCTGCCTGGATCCGCGAGCGCGACTTCTCCGCAGCCTCCACCACCTCGACAGCCCATGATCCAAGGAGCTCCTACACCCACAAAGCCGACCACAAATCCTACAATTCCTGCTCATAACGTCCCATTGACCCCTCCGCCGCCGCCAACGAACAACGTTGTCAAACCAGCTCCATCTGCGACTCCCCCTCCTCCACCACCTCCGCCGCGGAAGCCACGAGGCCGCGTTCGCAGATTTCTGACCGCACTTGTCCTGTTAACAGCACTTAGCTTTGGTGGAGGTGTCTATTATTCCAGAATCAACGACAACTTCCATGATTTCTTTACCGAATACATTCCCTTTGGAGAAGATGCTGTGCTTTACTTCGAGGAGAGGGAGTTCCGAAAGCGATTCCCGCCCACCACGACCCGTAAACCTCGAGACACCGGTGATAGAGTGAAAATACCCAGTCAGTCCGGCGTATCGTGGAGAGTTGCGGAGGACAACAAGAGTGCTACTGCGCGACACGCCAATGCCTCAAAGGATACCCCAAAGCCAAGGGAAGCAATCCAGGATCCTGTTGGGACCAAAACTGAAGAGAAAGTCAAAGTCGTTGAAGCTGCAAAGAAAGAGGCGGCTGTACCTAATTCTCAGTCTTCTGAGACAACACTACCACTTGGAAAGGCTCCAGAGGGAAAATCACCAGTGGTGCAGTCGCCAGTTAAGCCAGGCCAGCCAGTAAAAAAGGAGACAGCTCCGTCATCCACTACAGCTAATGCTATTCCGTTCACCGCTCCAGAAGTCGATCAACCTTCAAAGTTTCCTCCCGAGGTTACTCGCATTGACCCCATCAAAGTCAATGATGCGAATGAACCAGTGGTTCAAGATCTGGTCAAGATCATTAACGACATCATCACTGTGGTAAACGCGGACAATTCCAATTCTAGATTTTCGACTACGATTGACAAAGCCAAAAGGGAGGTTAGCAAACTTGGCGGCAAAATTAAAGCTCTCAAGGACGAGGCAGAAAAGGATGCGACCTCGAAAATCAACAGCGAGAAGGAGGATTTCGACCGGGCCGCAAAAGAGCTGATTCGCCGCCTTGAAGCTGAAATGGCCAAGCAACAATCACAGTGGCAAGAAGAGTATCAAAATGAACGCCAGAAGATTCAAGAAAATTATGAGCAGAAGCTGAAAGCCGAGGTTGAGAGGGCACAACAGGTCAACGAGCAGCGTCTCAAAAATGAATTGCTCAAGCAAGCAATTGATTTGAAGAACAAATTCATGTCCGATGTGAAGACTCAGGTGGAAGAGGAACGTGACAGTCGGTTGGGAAAGCTCACTGATCTTTCAAAGACTGTGAATGATCTCGAGAAACTGACTACGGATTGGAATTCTGTCGTGGATGCGAATTTGAAGACCCAACATCTCCACGTGGCCGTTGAGGCTGTTCGTGCGAATTTGGAGAAAAGTCAAGTTCCTCGACCTTTCGTTCGCGAACTTGCGGCTTTGAAGGAAATTGCATCTGATGATGAAGTCGTCAACGCAGCTATTGCATCAATTAATCCAGTAGCATACCAACGGGGTGTTCCTTCCTCATCCCATCTCATCGACCGATTTCGACGTGTTGCGAGCGAGGTACGCAAAGCTTCTCTCCTGCCAGAGGATGCCGGTGTTGCCAGTCACGCCTCGAGTTATATTTTGAGCAAAGTTCTATTCAAGAAGAAAGGCCTTGCGACAGGCGACGATGTTGAGAGTATTTTGACAAGAACGGAAACATTCTTGGAAGAGGGCAATCTGGACGAAGCTGCCAGAGAAATGAACGGCTTAAAGGGGTGGGCAAAGACGTTGAGCAAAGACTGGATGGGTGAGGTTAGAAGAGTACTTGAAGTGCAACAAGCCTTGGACGTAAGTTCATCCTCATCCCGGATTGTTGATATAAGCAAAACTAACGTCAAATAGGTAATTGCTACTGAAGCGCGGTTGCAAAGTCTGAGGGTTGAGTAAAATTATCGCTTCCATTTGTACATGAGGTTTGGTGCGGTCCAGATGACCGGCATCTTTGTATGAGATAGAAATAGACATGTATTCAAAAGTAGACTGAGTCTGGCTGCCGCAATACCTTGTTTTCTTTTAAATATCGATGTCTAAATTGCAGCAGGCGATGTACACATTGGCAATACTTCACGAACAGGGAAGCTCTCGGCGCTCCAGGGTGGCACTTCCAGCATTAAGATTGACGTATATTACTAACGGGCATTTTAGAGAATACTCTGTCTATTCTGTTTCTAGTGGCTTACATACACGCATCTTCGCGACGAATTTCTCTTCCGTTAGCCCCATCACTGATAGCCATCACGTCTATCAACAATGCGATTCGGCTGGCTTGTACCACTCAAACGCTCGTTCGTTCACGGGTGGTGGCGAATCTTACAGTGGCGAAAGGATCTATGTTTGGACTCGAAGCGGCTGCAGTCACGACTGGAGATTTGACTCCGGAATGGTATATTGCGTTAACGAAATTATGGAGTACATGTGCTGTTGATATAGTTACATCCTACGCCTCGACCTCTGTGCAATATGGTTTAGCACCTGCGAGTTTAAGAAGTTTGTCCGTCAGTTCCGGCTCGGTGGAAGGTCTGTCACGATGCAGTAGATCGGCCTTCCCGAATCTCTGAATCTTATCTGCCTTCCAAAAGTTTCTGTGAGGCCAATGGGTCTACCAAAAATCAGTATCAGACACGAATTTCAATAGGAAGAGGGTAATTGCAGACTCACCGTACGCTCTCTTGCCTCGAATATTTGCTTCTTCTTCGCCAGTTCTTCTTTCGATGAGAAAGATGCGGGTGTGTAGCAGACGTCTAATCCAACAGGTAAGTATTTGAGATTTTGAGCATTGGGAATGGACACTTACAGAACAGAGCTCTTGTCTGCTTGCTCACAGGACGAACGTTCCAGTGGACCAACCGACTATCCCAGAGTATAAGGTCGCCCGGACCACAATTCACCTTCACCTCCACCGCGCCATTCTCTTCAAACCATTTTCTCTCTTCCGCATTAAATCCATGCCAATCATCCGGGACCACACCCCACTCAGCTTTCTTCTCTGTGCCGTGGATCTTGAAGAACTTTTCGTTGAGCACATGCGAGCCTTTCAGCACCATCAATCCACCGTCCACGTTTCCGTTCGGACATAAGTTTAAGATGCCTTGGATACACTGGATTCCTTTTAGGTGAGGGCTTTGGTCAACGTGCTCCCATGGCGTACCCGGGCCTGGCGAAGGTCCGGGAGGAGGGAGGGTAAGGTTTATACCGTCGAATGAGGATAGTAGTTCGTCTGTTCCCCAGATTGTCTTGAATGCGTCGAGGACTCCTGGTTCTCTGTTAAGCGAGTGTCAGCTTTTCCGTGGTTACTTCAGGAAAGGGCAGGCAACATACTGTCTCGCATCCCAAACGAATTTCTCATGAGCGACTGAATATCCATGATACATTCCTCCCTTCCAATGGGCGGGTAGATTCTCTTCCGTCCATGTGTCTGGGTTGTGACGGTCGAATCCGAGTGGAAATGTCTCAAGCCATTGGATCATGGAGTCTTTGTACTTTTCTGCGCTGTCTTCTGAAATCGCTTCCTTGATGACAACGAAGCCGTCTCTGAATAAGTCATCTCGAAAGTCGCCGTAGGATTTGGTGGTATCCGGTAGTTCCGTGAGTGAGTGAGGCATATTGAAGTTTGTCTAAACGAGATTGTCAATAATTTGATGATTTAAAGCGGAACGACGATAAAGAAGAATCTGATCAAAAATGCTCTCAATTCATATTGGGACTATAAATATTTCACGTTTCTATATACTCTCAGTTCTTCAAAATCTAATTGATGGAAGTAGTAATTGCTTCGAATTGTGGATCATCGTCGACCGCGGGCCGATGAAAGTTAGTTGTGCCAGAGAGCCGAGGGTGGGATATTCTCTTTCCATCCGCGGCCGGTCCCGAATCTGATGACAAGTAAGCAAGTTGTCCGAATCCTCAATCTATAAAAGTTCCCCCGCGGGCGCGGCGCTTGAATTGAAAGACAACAAAACCCCCAGACTTCCCCATAATAAACATGAACGGCGAACACAGCCAGGCCGACCCTGAACATTCGGAACGCCGCGGATCAAGCCTTCAACTCAGCCGGCAGTATCGGTCAAAGAAGAATCAACCGTCAGATAGTAACATTCTAATATAGAAATGATTTGCCGACTGACGTAAATAGTTGTGATAGCTGTCGTCGGCGGAGGGTTGGCTGCGTTCGTGAAGTTGACCAAACCAGTTGTACTTTATGCCGCTTCCGGGGAACCTCGTGTACCTTTGAGTCTCGACCTATTCCTAAAAAGACCTCTTCTTCTCATGTCCAGACTAAGACCAAGGCACCGCGTGAGTTCTCTCTGAGGCCGGTGAGTTCGATACATGCTCCGCCTCCGAGTATTGAGCCAGAGGATATTACACAAACATCTACCATTTTCAAGAGTAGAACATGTCTCTATGGAGGACCCAGCAGTGATCAAGACCCTCACTTACTCAGGCATTTGGCCTTTGATAGTACCAATCGTTTCGGAGATGCAAATTGGATGGTATGGCGGATGTTGCCGCGTGCTCAAGATCCTGTCTTCTTCACAGTAAATCACTGCCCAGATAACTCTGATGGACGCTTATACGTACAGGTAATTCCCAATGCACACCTAGATGCACATGAAGATATATACGATACGAAGTGGCTAGACTCCATCGTCTCCCCGTTTCAAGATGTAGTTATTGACGCCTATTATCGACATGTGCACCCAACATTCCCGATCTTAGAACCACAACAGCTTTTGAAGCAAGCGATTTCCGAGCAGCGAGTACCAGCATCACTTCTTGGAGCAATATACACGATAGCGCTACCTTTTCTCGATAACTTGGGTCAATTTACCTCCGGTAAAAAGCCAGATGTGTATGCGCTATATTTCTACGTCACAACAGCCCTGGGTTACGAGACCATGACCCCAAGTTTGCGTACTGTCCAAGCAAACGTTATCATTCTACAGACCCCTCCTGTCATAATACGGGAACCTAATCTACCAGGTGCTTGGACTCGTACCTCCTCGGTACGTTCGTTCAGTTGTGGTTCTTACAACATCAACTCATGACTATAGCTTCTCGCATTAGGACAAGAGATTGGTCTTCATCTCGATCCAACTGGGTGGAACATCGATCGACAGGAACAAAAGTCGCGCAAGATTGCTTGGTGGATAATCTACGTGCAAGAGAAATGGTACTACTGACTTCCAATCATCAATGTTCAATCTAATACCGGCAGGCTCTCGCACTGGCTTGGCTACCCAAGTCATATTCTCGCACACAGCTGGACAGTTCCGCCTCTAGCTATCGGCGATTTCTCCGACGAAAAGGATACCATTACTTTTGACATGATCAGTTCAGCCAATAAGTTCATTGCCCTCACAGAGTTGACTTTGATCCTGGGTGATGTTTTATCCTCGTTTTACACCCAGCGTCCTGCGCGTCCGAATGCAAATCAAATTCTGCTTGAGGATGAACGTCGAATATTGCACCAACTAGATGAATGGAAGGTGAGGAATCGGTGGTCAGTGACGAATCCGCATAAACTTCCTAATGGTATGCATCTCATTCTCTTGCGCTGAATTACTACCTATCGATCACCGCTGAAAAATCTTGGCTGAATCATACTAGAATACTTTATTGTATTTGCTTACTCTACAATCCACCTATCGGTCTGCAGAGCCGTGCACGCAAAAACAGAATTCCCCATCGAAGCTACCAAGGAACGTGCAATGACTGTTTTCGATGATTTGATACACGTCTTGAGCAACTTGCAACCTCAAGCTGTCGACATGTTGTGGCTGAGCTGTACGACCCAAGACCCTCATCAAAGCCCGTTCGCAAGATGCTAACTCTTAGCCAGACTGCAAGGGATGCCTCACATTCATGGGGAATTTTATGATTACGGTAATGTTGTCGAGTGTAGAAGATCGATCGTTTGAGAGCGGCAAAAGAAGATTGGATGAGTATATGGCTTTGCTGGAGAGGATATCGAAGACGTTTGAGTTTTCGAAGTTGCCGTGTCAGCGGTTAAATTTGATTATTCAGAGGTTGTTTTCGTCGAGGGAATGATTGTTGTTTTGGGAGTGTATAAAGTAGTGCTACTTTATAGCAATTGTATATTATAGTAGTAATCATAACACGAAAAACATAACATCTAATAATGGGCATGTTCAGAAGTTCAGAGAGCAGGCTCATGAGTATCACATGTTATTTCAATATTTGACGGTTCCATGTGGGTTCTTCACTAAAGCATGCAAAAGATAATCATTGCGTTACACCATTACCGGTAGTCTGCGATTAGGCATCTATTAGCTAGCACTACCGTGGATTCTATGCATTAACACCTTTCTAGAACTCACGTTTCTATGCCTAGTTTATTTAAATCTTGGATACACCGATGCACAGTGATGATCCTGTACGCGGCCCAAAGCCAAGTTCATCGCAAGTTCAGTCCTGTATGGGCCCACCATGGAGTTGGCCCGCGGGCGACAGTACCGGCAAGAGATTAAGGTTCTGCACAGACTTGGCCTGTGGCTGATTGACTACTTACACCGGCTTTTGGAAAAAGATACGATTGGTTGGAAACAGCTCGTTGCGGAGCTCCGAAGCATTTCAGAAGCTTTTACTCGGAACGTTTATTGGATAGAGAGTGGAGATCTGTTGGTGCATAACGCATCCTTACCCCAGCTTTGTTTTCTGGAGAAGTGGTTCATGCTTCCGACGTCTACCTTCAAGCACTGTACCTGGACTAGATAAGGTACCTGGAATTGCTAGATAACAGGACAGCATGTTGAGCATGGGGAGCACGTTGAAGATGTATATTAGTTCGCATGAAGTCGGTCGCTGAAACTTTTCGAGAGACGTCTCATCTGGAAGAATAGAATCTATTGAGTTTCTATTGCAACCAAAGAACTCAGGATACCTTTCTTGCAATTTACATTTCCGCGATGAGAGGACTCAATGATATTACTCTCGTCAGAGAGATGACCAAACCACTGCTCATGGTCTCAGTGTTTTCTTCTGTAAGTCAATTCAAGCGGGTCGTCTGGGAGCAACCTTTCATAATATTCGACTAACATATTACTTTAGCTTGGGGGTATGAGTTTCGGTCTCGACAATGCATATTGGGGAGGTCTGTTAGGAATGAAACAGTTTGCAAAAGACTTTGGCACATTAGACGAACTTACGGGAGAGTACTCAATTCCGACTACCTGGCAGTCAGCGGGATCTGGAACTCCTCTCGCTGGAGTAGCTTTGGGTTGTCTACTTGCTGCACCCTTGTCAGCAAGATTCGGTCGGAAGATCTCCTTCTACGTGCTCAATGTCATCGCTCTTGTGGGAATTGTACTTCAAGCAAGTGCTTTCAGTTACTGGCAGATAACTGTTGGTCGAATCATTAATTCGATTTCCATGGGAATCATATGCAAGTAAGACATCTGCAACTCTCCAGCTGATTCCTAAACTGACTGAGCAAAGTGTGGTGCCAACGTACCAAAATGAATGCGCACCTGCAGCCATTCGTGGTGCCGCGATAAACTTCTACCAGTTTTGGCAACTATTAGGTGCTCTCCTAGCAACCATCATTAACTACGTCTGTTCGAATCGCACAGACCAGTGGGCATACCGAACAGTTATGGTCTGTCAATTTGCAATTCCAATCATTCTACTGATCGGAGCATACTTCCTACCCGAATCCCCTCGTTGGCTTCTGATCAAAGATCGTGATACAGAAGCGGAGAAGATCATGCAGTGGTTGCGGATAGGAACGCATACAGAGGTCGTGAAAGAAGAATTACATCTCATTAAGCTTGCGATTGAACAGCAACGTGAGCTACACTATGCTGCGTCGTACCTTGACTGCTTCCGGTAAGCCCTCAGAATCCACTGCGGTGACACTCTTATTCTAACAACAACCTTAGTGGTACCAACCGTCGACGAACCCTCATCGCCGCTGGCGTGCAATGTTTCCAGCAGTTTCAGGGCGCGCAATTTATTCTCAATTACGTCTACATCTTTCTTGCAGAAATCGGTGTTGAAAACACTTACCAGATCGGAATTTACCTCTACTTGGTTAACTTAATCTCAGCGGGTTGTGCATTTTACATGGCCGACAAATTTGGACGACGACCTATCCTTGCCGTTGGTGCGCTAGTTATGTGCGCATCTATGTTTGTGGTGGGAGGGTTAGCAGGTGTTGCGGGTGCTAAAACGAGTGCACAACAAAACGGAGCATTGGCAGCATTGTTCGTTTGGCTTGCTTTTCAGGCAATTGCGTGGGGGTCCTGGTGAGCTTCTGTTCCATGCATTCCTTGCACTTCTGCCCTTTCTGGCTCTTTCCGACACAGCTGCTAATAAAATCATAGTGTTTGGATCACCTGTGCTGAAGTTGGAACAGCCCAACTTCGAGAAAAGACAATTACGATTGCGACTTTCTTAGGCTTCTGCTCTAGTATCCTGGTGACATATGTCAGTCCTTACCTGCAGAATAAAGGGTACGGGAATCTTCAAGGAAATATCGGATTTGTCTGGGGCGGACTGTCTGCACTATCCTTAGCGTTTGTAATATTCTACGTACCCGAGCTCAAGGGTCGTAGTTTGGAGGAACTAGACGATATGTTCCAGCAAAAGGTTAGCGTTTTCAAGTTTGGAAAATATCGGAGCGTACAGGGTATTGGGACTATTATTACGCAGACTGAAAAGAAGGATGCGGTTCTGGACAAAGATGCTTTTAGCGTGGAAGAGAAGTCGGTTGATCCGTCGGTCGCTTAGAGGAATAATCACAACGTATAATGTGCTCAAATTTGTTGGGTATTCTATTAACACTGTTAATATGGCCTCTGTAAGAAGTGTTCGATTATGCATTTATGATCCGACTATTCTAAGATTGAAATGGTGAACAAGATCTCTTACAATCAAATACTGGCAACTCAAAACATTCCTTTAGTTGAAACCAAACAACGCCCTCTTAGCTACGCTGCATTCGCTTAGTTTTGTCAGCTGACCAACCTCCTTTTTCTTTCTTCGGACTTCCAACGTGTTCCGCTTTGCGAAGTCGGTACCAAAGGAAGAAACTGGCAAGAAGCAAATTGATACATGAGCTAAAGTTGTTCTCTATATTTCACCGCAGAGTTGATTTCTACGTTATTCTCACCTTCAAACGACACATTAACTCGCCTTCAGCTCAGATATGATACCCATCCAGGTGCCTCTGTTGACCGATTCACCACATTTGACTGTTTGGAGCCTCGTAATCGGACGTTCTTATGTCATTTGATACCCCACAGATGTGGTCTTCCTAAGATGAGCAGATACAAAGTGAGCAGACCGGATAGTGAATACCAATTTTTGTGGAGACGTTTCCCCATTCGATCTGTTTTAGTCTGTTAAATAGTGTTCATTTCCCCCAACCATTTCTTCCTTCTTTCCTAACAATCAAAACCCATAATCGTTCTAATTTCAGATCAAACTTTCTCCAAGAAAAAACAAATTCTACCTCACTTTTCTCGTACCCGTACTCCACTGTAGAACTTCATCGTAAAATCGCCCTCATGACGTTCTTCGCCTTCCTTGTTGGCCTTTTTGCCATCATCCAGTTGGTACGGCCATTGGAGCCAATTGATGAACGATCTCTGATTTATTTACAGGCGATTGGCGTTGCTCTACCAGAGAACCTTAATGCGCAACTTCCATACCCCGTCTCGGACCTCGTCTTCACTGGTGAGATCGGTGGTCAGAAAGTTGCCTTACTGGAACTATTCAAGTAAGTAATCCCTTCAAAGTAGATCCGATCTGGTTCTATGTGATGCACGAGTGTCATCAATTGTCTTTCTGTGCCATTTAATCATCCTAGATTTTGGGTTTGTATTGGAATAATATTCTCAATGTCCGAAGGAAGATCGATGTTTGACACATTGAAGGTGAAGACAAACTGGTAGAATTCGAACGCTGATCGAACTTCTAGCAAGTCTATGCTCAAGCCAAGTCCGCCAACCCTGCTTTCGACATTAAATCCAAACTCTCCGCAAATGAGGCTTCTGTCACTGGTAGATCCAACGATTTAGAGACAAGAAACAAGGTATGTGAAATAAGCAAAAACTCAGATATTTTGTGTACTAATATTTTTATCCAGGACGGCTTTTTCTGCACTCAAAACATCGGTTGGCCATGGGGACAAGTAAATGCCGATTTTCTTGATGAAGGAACTCGCTACTTGAGTGAGTCTTCCACTATCACAACGAATTTTGTACGTGGTTACTAACAGATCTAGGGGGCAAGGGTCGGTGTGGTGTCAATGGTCATTCATGCGCTCGTATTGCCTGCTCGTACAGAACTGCCATCTTCCTGTGCAATGATGTAAGTTGAACATCTCCTTGCGTTTGTGGACCAAGGCTGATAAATTTCAGCGCCCGGAGTTTATTCAACCAGCGTGCCCATATCTTGCTAGCTACGTCGATGACATTGTAAACGTATGCGGCATTCACTACGACAGTGCTTTTACCCACAACATTTTGGTTGCGGGCCAGCGTTTTGATACCGATAGATACAATGTATTGGTCAGATTCGATTACTGTTAGGAGACGGATGGATGTTTTGAGGTTCCGAAGTTGATATTTGAACTTGGGCTATACTCTAGTTATACCGGTACATAGTTTGGGAAAGGGCTTCTGACCTCTCATTGGGTTGTTAGTGAAAGACTTTGAACAGAAGATGGCAAAGAACTTGTCGGTTCTTGAAGACTCAATGAGACCTCATTTCAGCTATCTATCTTACCTTCACTCTATGCTAGTATCAACTGTGATTAATACCAAAATTCGTTCCTCTCTCCACGTATCTTGCTTGGCATGCCCGCCCAGAGGCATCCGTATTGATTTAATCACAATACCTTCTGATAACACAAGCTGGAAATGGTCTTATTCACGAATTAGTCTATTCTTTAACACCGATCTACAATGTGAGCAAGTTATCAAGTCCATCTGAATCACAAACTTCCTTGACGTCAACCACGTTAGGCCGGCAGGTCCACAATTAACACCTATAAGAAGGCCTTCAATCTTTCTGGGATCTTTGTTTTTTCCCTTCATCCTCTTCAAGAATCAAGATACCCAGCATAGATCTAGATCAGCTTTCAACCTCCTCCCATTACCTCTTTATCTCCGATTTCAACCACCTCATTGTTACAAAAAGCTTACCATCATGCTTCCTACCATTTTCCTAGGCCTTTTTGGCATTGTTAGTCTTGTATGAGCTTCGTATTTACAAGAGATCTATTTCTAATTAGTCATAGGCTACTGCTGATATTAATGCGCCTCTACCATACCCTATCTCGGATCTGGTTTTTACCGGTGAGCTCGGAGGAAAGAAGTCACTTTTAACGGAATAATTCAAGTAAGTCTATCATTCAAAATTCGTCTGCCACATTCCCACGACTTACTTGGGGCAATTGGTCTCCCTACTTTAAACACTTTGTCTTGAAAGATTTACTAACAACTTGACGATTCTTCTTAGATGCCCAATTCGAGAAAACGCAATTGCTAACATACCCCGTAGCAAATCTACGAACAGGCCAAAATTGCCAATGGGGACTTTGACGTCGACGAACAGCTTTCTGCAAACATCGCTACTGGCAGTCCTGAAAAGCTAAACGCCAGAAACAAAGTAAGATAGACCACGCCAGTGTGGAATTGATATGCTAATAAAATTGACCAGAGCCCCCCACCACTTTGCAACCAAAACATCGGCAATCCCTGGACTCCAACAGATGTTCTATACATCAATAATGGGATCACCTACTTACGTAAGACTTCATCGACAACGTCCTTTGAATTATTGCTAACAGAATCAAGGCGGCAAGGGTTCCTGTGGCGTCAATCCTCGTTCTTGTGCCCGTATCTCCTGCTCCTATCAAGCTGCCATTTTCCTGTGCAACGATGTAAGTCTAGTTCAGCTCAATCTCAAGGCTTGAGGTTTTGAGACTAATATACGTCAGCGTAACGACTTCATTGCACCATCCTGCGCATACCTTGCAAGTTATGCCCAAGATATCGTCAATAGATGCCAGTTCTTTTCATCATTCAAGAAGTGGCAAGTTGCTGGACAGGAATTCGATACTGACAATTACAACGTCGTCGTTCGAGCCGCTGCTTGTTAAAGGGAATATCTCTGGTTTGAGCATTTGAGCGTTGGCGTTCGTTTCCGTTTACATTTTGAGTGGCTGCTTGGTAGTCGAAGGTTGTTTGTTGGCTTGCTGGCACATTGGGACAATGCTTTGGATATCTGGTTTTAGGGCAGGGATGAAAGTTAGCTAGTAGTCCAGCTGGTATTTAATTGACTGATTTGGCAAAAGGCTTCATGAAAATGCTCAAAAGCTGTTTCAAGAACCTAAACTCGATTAAAACGTGAATGACTGGCATGTTGCAATGGCCCCGTGTAGATGTGTATGGTTTCGTAGAAATGTCAACACTTTGTCCATTGTCAACTGTGAATAATGAAGAGCCCCAATCTCAACTAGAGTACTTAAATTGAGTTAAGTTGAGTTTGCCAGCTAAGAATATTAAGAAGGAAAAATTGCAAGATCTGTCGCGCCGAGACTACGGTAGAGTGGAGAGATTCGTCCTGTTTGATTCAGTTCGAGTGATAAGGTTGACCAAACAAAAGATTTTAGCTGGACATATACCTCGTTAATCCGGTCGGCCATATTGTGCGCGAAGTAAAGCAAGGTGTCTCGTCAAGACTCTTGCGTTGAGGTCTGAGTCCAATATGGGGCAACTGATAAGCAAGAAAGAGCAGACTTCAACCACCACTGCGACTAAAACGACGAGACCTCGACAGCTGTTTCCGAACTCTCGACGATATCCTCAACTCGAGAGAGAGATAGGGACAAGTGAGAGACATCCGGTTCCGTTGATTCCTACACACCGAGATGTCAGACAACGTCGCCGAGTTTCGAGAAGAGAGTTTAGCCACAGTCAAGATCATATCTCCAATGGTCGCTCCCGTTCGTCAACTATGAGTCTCCCAGTAGGCGAGGAAGCAGACACTAGACAGCACATTGACACAACATCACGTCGACGGCGTATCCGCCATTATTATCAAACATCAATATCTAGCGAATCTTCATACACACCTGAAGCACCAGAGCCAATTGTTGGACGTTCTGCGCCCCAGGAAAAATCCCAGGAGTCATACGTAGTGGAACAGCAAGACCGTAAGTATCGACGAGACTCCTTACTATTCCAGTGGCACGGGACAACAGCCTCGTCGATTCTTCGTCCTGTATTAAGCTGACTTTTCATTTGTGCCAGAGAATTCCAGAGTAAAGAAATTCGCAGGGAAAGCACCGAATCGGCGTAGAAACGAGACTAGTTCTAGTGAGACCATATAGGGGGGCTATTCGTAGAGAGGAGAGAAAGAATGGATTGTTACACGAAGAAAAGACGTCTCGGGAAACCTTTGAGGATACTGATAAAGAGATGTGTTGTTCCAAGCCTCAGAACTGGACTTCATCACCATCTTCCGTAGCCCCAGAGGTCGGAATAGCACGAGAGTATTGTTTCCAATGCTTTGAGAGAAAGAAGAGCACAGAAAGCCAAAAGGGAAAATAAAGTGGTTGAGCTGTACAGTAAAGAACGACAACACTATTGGGGGCGAAAAGAGATTTCATAGGAAGACAGATATGTATATCCAATACTTGTGCTTACAAGTCTGGATTCCGCTCTCCGCGTGAGAGAGAAACGCCTTTTTTCTGAAGGGTCTAAAACTCATTGACGAAAAATAAGAGACATTCTGGATAGCAATTAGACTCACATACAGAGCGCAATTCATTGCTTATGCGTTGGGTTTTTAAGTATCTACAAGAACCAATGAAAATCCATAAACAAGAGAGGGGAGAAGAATTGATGAGGTTGCAGGGGAAGGACTGGGGTGGCTCGGGCCGAGAACGCGCTTCGACACGTTGAACGCGTCCCTCAGATTTCATTATCAGAATCTCTAAGTCTCAATTTCGCAACCTCATCACCACTTTCCTCGACCGAGTCTTTGTATAATTACCATCCCTATCAGGCCTGCACTCCATCTGGACAAGTTCGAACGACTGAAGATTTAAGACAGGAAGTTTGCGATATGGGAAAGCCAACGGACAACACAGATGCGACTCCAGCACGCCCACCACCCTCGTTGAAGAAGCAAGCCTCGAGTAGCACCCAACGATCGATACAAAGTTTCTTTACCAAATCATCTCCTGCCAATGGGTCTTCTGTATCCACTCCGACGAATGGCGCCTTGAAGGTTAATGGCACTGGTAGTGCGGTGAATGCAATGGCGAAACCCAAGTCTGTCGCCTGTGTAAAGAAACCTGCATTCAAAAAGCCCGCCATGAGAAATGCCACTCCGGTGGCTAGCAGCGATGCCGCCGGACCGTCCAGCTCACAGGAGAACGAGAATGGAGGAATTGACGACGAAGACATGCTAGCATTACTATCGCCGGCGAAGAAAGTTGCAAAAAAGGAAATAGATGAGACGAGCATGGTGAAACTGGGCAGCAGCCCCTCGCGCAAGGTAAGTCGAAAACTATTGACTATGGCCATATCTTTCTAATCCTCGCTCCTTAGGCAAAGAAGGTGGTCAGTTATGCAGAGTCCGACGACGATGATGACGACGATGCGTTCGACCCCGCTGGAATAAAATCAAGGCCGCCGAGATCTAGGAAGACAAAGATACTCCCAGAAAGCGAAGATGAGGATATCTTTGTGGCTGGCGACGATGCACCTCTGGATGATGATGGTAAGAAGGATGCTCCTTAAATGCAAACCTCGCTAAGAATTGTGTAGCAGATATGGACGATTTTGTCGTTGACGATGATTCCGATGCTCCAGTGAAACGCTCAACTAAGCGAAAGCGTCCAACAACAGCGAGCACTTCGCGTAAAAGATCAAACATCTCTCCTCCCACCTCTTATACTCAGACTCAAGATGACGATGAGGTTATTCCCGGAACCTCTACCGCCCAGCAGTGGAAATATGATCCCGAAAATACAGAACCACTCCAGCCAAGATCGGCAAACATTCAGAAAAGGCCAACATCTGGGAAGCAAAAGAAGGAAAAGGCATGCAAAAGTGAGCCCGAGAAGAGGTATACTTGGTTAGCGAAGCTTGAAGATCTTGATCGAAATCCAATCGGGCATCCAGACTACGATCCTCGTACGGTCTATATTCCCCCGAATGCGTTTGCAAACTTCTCTCCTTTCGAAAAGCAGTACTGGGAGATAAAACAGAAGTTCTTCGACACCATAGTGTTCTTTAAGAAAGGAAAATTCTATGAACTCTATGAAAATGATGCGACAATTGGCCATCAGCTCTTCGACCTAAAGCTTACTGATCGCGTAAACATGCGAATGGTGGGTGTGCCAGAGATGTCTCTGGATCACTGGGCGAACCAATTCGTCGCGAAAGGCTTCAAGATAGCCCGTGTTGATCAAATGGAGTCCGCACTTGGCAAAGAGATGCGCGAAGCAGACGATGGAGGCAAGAAAGGAAAACCCTCCAAAGCAGATAAAATCATCAGGCGAGAGCTAGCCTGCGTCCTAACGGGAGGAACTTTGGTTGAAGGAAGCATGTTGCAAGATGATATGGCGACTTTCTGTGTTGCTATAAAAGAGTCTGTCGTAGACGATCTCCCAGCCTTTGGAATCGCTTTCGTGGACACGGCCACCGGACAGTTCTTCCTCTCCTACTTCGTGGATGATGTGGATTTGACAAAGTTTGAAACGATCGTAGCACAAACTCGGCCGCAGGAGCTACTGCTGGAAAAGTCATGTATATCTACCAAGGCACTGCGGATATTGAAGAACAATACCGGTCCAACGACGATTTGGAATCATTTCAAACCTGGCAAAGAATTTTGGGCAGCTGATGTTACTAGACGAGAACTTGATTGTAGTGGGTATTTTACTACCGACGAACCTGGTGGAAAAGAGGTCTGGCCGGAAAATCTGGAGAAAGCCAGAGACAATGATCTGCTCATGTCCTCTTTCGGTGCCCTCACTCAGTATCTTCGAACCCTTAAGCTCGAACGCAATCTACTGACCCAAGGCAATTTCACATGGTACAATCCCATTCAAAAGGGAACGACTTTAGTTCTCGATGGTCAAACACTTATTAATCTGGAGATTTTCGCCAACACCTTTGACGGTAGCACGGATGGTACACTTTTCGCATTGCTCAATCGCTGCGTTACTCCATTTGGCAAGCGGATGTTCCGTCAATGGGTGTGCCATCCATTAGCAGATGCTTCAAAGATCAATGAGCGGCTCGATGCTGTTGACATGATTAATGCAGATCGGAGTCTTAGTGATCAGTTCATCTCTTCCATGACTCGAATGCCAGATTTGGAACGGTTGATATCTCGCATACATGCAGGTGTATGCAAACCGGATGACTTTGTCCGAGTATTGGATGGATTTGAGCAGATCGAGTACACCATGAGTCTTCTAGGCGCATTTGGTGGCGGGGCCGGTATCGTGGACAGATTGATTAATGCTATGCCAGATCTCAGCGAGCCATTGAAGTGGTGGAAAACAGCATTCGATCGATCAAAAGCCAGAGAATACAAGCTGCTTGTACCTGAACGTGGAATCGAGGAAGAGTTCGACGAGAGCCAAGACAACATTGCAGAAGTTGAAGCTGCACTCCAAACACTACTCCAAAAGGCACGAAAGCAATTGGGTGGCAATAGCTCAAAGATCAATTTCAAAAATATCGGTAAGGAAGTTTATCAGATCGAGGTGCCTACGTCTATCACGGTCCCCAAAGGTTGGAGCATGATGTCCACCGCTGCTGGATTCAAGCGGTATTACAACCCTGAATTGAAGGGTCTTATCCGACAGTTACAAGAAGCGCAAGAGACACATGGACAAATTGTCAAGCAAGTAGCTGGACGCTTCTACAAACGGTTTGACGAGAGTTATGCCACATGGTTGCAGGCTGTCAAAGTTATTGCCCAGCTCGATTGTCTGATCAGTTTAGCGGCAGCTTCAGCAGCTCTTGGCGAACCAAGTTGTAGACCTACGTTTGTTGAAGCAGAACGTAGTGTTGTTGAGTTTGAAGAGCTACGGCATCCATGCATGCTTTCGAATGTTACCGATTTCATTCCAAACGATGTCAAGCTTGGTGGGGATGCGGCAAGCATTAATCTGCTGACTGGTGCTAACGCTGCTGGAAAATCGACGATCTTGCGAATGGTAAGTCTACTCCCTTCCAACAAAAAAATATTATTAATATTCATAGACATGCGTTGCTGTTATAATGGCTCAAATCGGTTGCTATATTCCCTGTGTATCTGCTACACTCACGCCTTGTGATCGCATCATGTCTCGACTCGGAGCCAATGACAACATATTCGCAGCACAGAGCACATTCTTTGTAGAGTTATCGGAAACTAAGAAAATCCTCTCAGAGGCAACACCTCGCTCGCTTGTGATCTTAGATGAATTAGGCCGCGGTACAAGTTCTTACGATGGTGTTGCAGTGGCCCAAGCTGTCCTTCATCACGTCGCAAGTCATATAGGCTGCACCGGCTTCTTCGCAACACACTATCATTCTCTAGCCACCGAATTCTCGGGGCATCCAGAAATCGCACCAAAACGAATGCAGATCCACGTCGACGAAGCGAATCGAGAAGTGACCTTCCTCTATAGACTCGAAGACGGCGTAGCCGAAGGAAGTTTCGGTATGCATTGTGCGGCCATGTGCGGAATCCCTACGAAAGTCATCGATCGAGCTGAAATTGCAGCGAAGGAATGGGAACATACGAGTCGTTTGAAGGAGAGTTTGGAGAAGGCGAGGAGTGGTTGCTATATCCCGCTTGGGGTGCAGAGTGATGTCTCGTGGATACTGAATGAAGATGGCGAAGGCTTTGACGAGAGGGGTCTTGATGTTCTGATGAAGGCTATCGAAGCTTTGTAATTTAAGAGAGTGGTAAATGGTGTATTGATGGAGGATTGGCGTTTGTTGCTTCTTGGCTAAGTTGCATGGTTCTGAGGTTCGCTCAAGCGGTTGGTATTGTATATTTAGCTGTAATTGGGAAGAGGAAAAAATGTCGATGTAATTCAAGTTGATAGCTCGTGAGCACATCTGTGGTCGTTTTCCAATACTCACTCTTTCAGAGAGTGAGGCCATTCTCACATGCCATCTCGCCCAGCCTTGCAACCCCACACGACTGATTCTTCCCACTTATTTCCTCTCCTTTCACATCCCCATCCCAAGCTCAGGAATCATTTTCATAAAACTCCCAATCGTCCGTCTGAGCCCAGCTCCAACAATGACTCCGACATCGGTCACCTCAAGCCAGAAAAAGTCCCTAGCGGTGTGGAAGCTGCATGAGGTTAAGGCAGGTACAAGTAGCATTTCCAACGTGGCACAACGCAAACATCCCGTCATATCCAACTCATATACTCATGAAATAATACATCCAAATCCAAATCCAAGTATCAAGGATGCACATCTCATAATGTCATCCGAGTACCCAGACCCATTCATAATCCACCCCGAGAAGCATGAGAATACGCTGGTTTTGTTGCATGGAACGTCTATGACTGGGGAGAGTCTGGCGGATGCATTTCTCAATTATCCTATCCCAATCTCATCAGCTTCCCAAACCACCTCACCAACTCCCCTTACCACAACACACACAACCCTCCCCCTCATCTTCCCAACCCTCCGCCTCGTCTTCCCAACCGGAAAACAGAGAACCACAACCGTATTCAACGGCGCACTAACAAACGCATGGTTCGACATCCACGCTTTCCATGACCGGACGATTGGGGAGGTGGAGGCTTGTGTGGGGGTTAGAGAGTCGCTTGCTTTTTTACATTCGTTGCTACTCTCTGAGATCTCGTTGCTGGATCAGAACGAAGGAGCAGGCGGAGAAGGAGGTGGGAAAGGAGGCATAGTAATTGGCGGCTTCAGTCAAGGCTGCGCGATGCTCGTCATGCTCCTACTCTCTGGGCTCTTAGAATCTACCGGTATAAAAGGACGGGTGAAAGGGTTTGTGGGTATGAGTGGGTGGATGCCATTTCGTCTCCAGATCCAAGACGTACTTTCCTCTTCGCACTCTGGGATTCAGGATAGGAGAGGGGTTGCTTGTACGGCGTTGCATGGGATCTTAGGGACGGAGGGTCAGGAGGGGGTGAGTGCGAGTGTCGATGTGCCGATGTTTTTTACGCATGGAGTTGAGGATCAGAAGGTGAAGATGGAGTGGAGTAGGGAGATGACGGAGGTGTTGAGGGGGGTTGGGGCGGAGGAGGTGGAGATGGTTGAGATGGAGGGGGTTGGGCATTGGTTTGGGGATGAGGGGATGGTTGGGTTGGTTGGGCTTTTGAGGAGGGTTTTGGCACGAGAGGAAGTTTAATTTGGGTGATCAGATGAATGAGTAGAACTGGGAAGAGGGATTGAAAGGGAACTCGTGCTACATTTAGGTCATGCTTCTGGCGATGAAGAAATGAGTTCATAGGTGTAATATGGTAATCACTAACAATTTTACTTTATTTATCAAGTGCCTTTCACACCATTTTCCGACGGATAACCCTAAGCTCTTATACTAGCTATCTTGGCAGCCAGAATTGTAATTCTCCTTGCGAGTCTCCCTTCCCAACCCCGAGTCTGGTCAAAATCAAGCAGGATTGATGTGAATCTTTATCTCAACCTCGTTACTCCATCCAGCTTCTAGATCGAGTTCCTTCCAAGCCTTCTCAACATCAATTTCAAGAACATACTTACTGGTACTGCTGACAGACATCGTATGAACTGGTACCACCTTCCCAGATATTGTCGCCATCATTCTATCTTGCCATGAGATTTCTGGAAGATTAGAAACGTAAAGACCTAATCTGATCAGTCTACCGCATATGTGGAATGGCGTAAAGAAACTTACCAAGAACACCAAGAGCCTTAAGATTCGTGTCGACAAAAATCTTTCCGTTACCGAGTTTGGTGATTTGGGTGGCAACCACCGCCGCAGCTCCAGCCATCTTACCAAGGAGTCCAAGATTTGCAACCCAAGTAGTTTCATTGTGCTTTTCATCGACAAATCCACGAAGAGGGTACGCCGAAAGAATATCATATCCACGTACCTCGAGCGAGATGTAGATTAAAGATGACTTATCAACAACCTCCATAGGCTTTGATACCATTCCGCTATTGTGAGCACGCACTACGTACAGTTGAGCTTCAACAACACCAGGGAACTTTGAAAGTGGTACAAGCTCGCTGAGAGGGCGACCAGAAACGTTGAAGGCGCCAATCATTCCCGTTCCAGTTACTGCGCGACCTGCCATTCATTAGTATGCTTCTATAATAATTTGACTGATCTTTACACACCATGGTATGTTCCTACGAGAAGCAAATTTTCATCATCATACCCATTATATTGATCTAAACTCTTTCCCATGACGCTCGGTCGAAAGATCACGGTCTTTCCACGTGGAGTCGGACCAGTCATTTGATTTATTAAATTGAAGTCATGTTTCCCAGGTACATCCGTAATATATATTGGTCCACCACTGACACATCTCGCCGCAGCATGGAACCCTGAGTATTCATGAACAGTCTGAAACATGTCCCAATCTGGGATAACGTTCAAATGTTGCGTAAATAGTGCATTGTGTGCATTTGTCCAGATATGCCACGGATGACTGGTAGGGATCTCTGGAAAGAAGTCGTCCGAGTTTCGTACTAGTAGCGGTGAAGTAGTATTTGGAAGTTGAGAGTGGAATAAAATTTGCGGCGTTTGCGACATGCAAGATATAGCCTTGATACTAAAATGTCGAAGGGTTGAGATAGTCCAAGCATCCAGGTACGTAGAGATGAGATCACTTCGGGCTTTTGCTGACTCGAATGTGTCCAACATGAATTGGGCGCTATAAAATTATCAGCCAGGCTTCCAAAAACGGTCAGAGAATATTTACTCTGTCTTAACGGCATCAATTCCCGACGCAGAGAGGAACTTGTAAAAGTCGTCATAGAATCGGGGCACGTCTTCTTTGGCTACAACTGTCATCTTGCCACCAAGAGGAAGATTACGGCGCAGAGCATCTTCACGAACAACCTCAACTGTCTTGTAAGTCTTAGCAATTTTTCCCTCGGGGTCCAAACCACCCCAATATCCCAAAATTGCATGCCAGACGGCCACGTGCTGGATACTTGGCTGCTTTTCGCGGATCTTCTGAACTGTGTGTTTAAGTCCATTTGGAAATGCTTCTCTCTCAGCCTCAAACTCCGACCAACCATGCTGGAATTGGCCATGACCTCGGTAATCAATCGCTTGCCAGTTATCATCGATGATGAAATTTGTAACATTGATTTTGTTCTTCGCCAAGGTTTCCACAGCATCGAGGATCTTATCCTCGGTTAGACGTTGACCAAGAGCGTTCCAGGTACCTATTAATAAGGATCAGTATTCACCAGCTCTGCATACCACGATGACTTACAGTATGTTAGCCCATCATACCAGTTTTCCGCCCAAACTTTTGTCTGCTCGTTTCCAGTCTTAAGTGCCTCCAACTCCTTCTGTACCTCGCCAGTGGTAGTCTGCGCAGCTGCCACAATTCCTCTCGCGTGATACATCACAGCAGCGTTAGCAGACTCAAAGTCGTCTCCAAGGCCGACTAAGACTTGCGAGGTCCCCTCACCAGTTCCGTCATTTCGAATCTATACTCATTAGCTAGGTCTTCAAGAGATAACTTACACGTACTCGCAATACAACGTTTCCACCCTCATCATTTTTGAACGTGGTCATGACATCGTTAACTCCACTGATCGCTAGCAAAACTATATGCTTTCCAGAATTACTTAGAAAAGAACAAGTGACAGCTTCCTTGTCTAATCCAAAGACTGACTTCCCTTGTCGTGGAGCTAACCACGGAGACCATATTCGGATGAGAGCGAACCACCTGGAAGAGAATCAGTATAAATCAGCCCAACACAGCCCATATTATGGCAATGAGTAGACATTCGACGTGGTTCGTTTTTCTCACCTCGAGAATTTTCCTTGTCCCCAAGGTAAACCAAATTTAACTTCCTTGATCGTCGACTTTTCCCCATCTGCGGCTTCAACAGGAACCTCCACAGTCCATAAAGTAGTACCTGGACTCTGACTTCTGTAGTTCTTCGTTTTGAAAGCCGGATCGAGCCCTTCAACGTAATCCTTCAACTCGCTAGATATTGCATCTTGGCTTGTGACGGATTTCATGATGATGGTACCATCAAAAGTTCCTTGATGATCCTTTACCCACTTCCACGCATGATCCGGACTACTTCGAAACTTGACGGTAAAGCTCGTGGGTAAGTGGATTGCTAGAGGAGTGGTAAAGTATAGTCGTGTGAGATGACCATCTTCACTTTTCATTGAAGGTTGTAGAGCTGTTGGCTGGGCCTTTTCATCTCTCAATGGATCCATTGGCACCTCTTGCCATTGGGATCCTTCCGAATGCCACAAAGAAATTTGCCATGGTTCTGAAGCTCGACTAGAATCGATTTCCAATAAGGCAGTGAAGATGGTGGTGTTTTTGTCAATCAGAGTAATCTGACCCAATGCAGGGAAAGTTGAAATGTATGCTTTCATACTGGGATGATCCAAAGCCGTAGGAGGCTTCTGTTTCGGAATGTACTTAGCTTGGAAGACTTCGTTGCCATCCGCGCCGGATATGAAGGTGGGCTCGGTCATGATGAGAGTGTGGGGTAGCGGGGAAGGAACGAGGCAAAACAGATGGAAGACGAGGATAGAGTCAAAACAACGAGGTGAAGATATAAATGCAAAAGAAAGAGGGAACAAGTCTCACATGCACAAGATGTCGGAGATGACAACACATTCGCTAGCAGCTTTGTTGATCATAAGTGCAGTTGCAATGCAGATGTACGATGGTATAAGTGGTTCACCTAGTCCAATCCGACTCCAATCGTCGTCTTTTGCATCTCACGTGCGCCGTTGTCGGGATGCAAAGTACACGTGATTGTGATTGCTCCCAGACACTACGGCGGATTTTAAATGCGTCTCGAACGCAAATGTCTCTCCGAAAAGGCAACATGGCTGGAAGCCGTAACGGTCCGCCGAACCATCGCCTCGTCCCGCCGCGACTGCGTCGGAATTGTCGCGTCTCTCGTCTATATCTTTTTTTTGGCTTTCGGATTTGGCTCAAATCTCGTTAACACCATACCACCACCACCATTTCCGTTGAACTGGCCTACCCTGCTCAAATCCGTGGTCCTCTTTCAACAAGCCTTTTCGCCTGCTGCATGGTCCAGTAAACCCTACCCGCCATCATGGCTCCATTACTGTTCCGAACCTCGACTACACGGGAATTATATATATGCGCCAGATGTTCCCTTCGATCCTCCACAACCCCAAGCCGCATCACGAGAAGATGGATTGGAGACAAATATCTTGCGAAGATTGCTGAGGCGGAGAGGGAGTGGGAAAGAAAGGCAAATGATATAAAAGCGGGAAAACAGAAAAGCATGCTCACCATCCTGGAAGAAAGAGGTCTGGTAAACACAATTGCTGGGTATGAGCTGTATATTCTCCCCATTGTAAGAGCTAAGTTCTGAAATTGCAGGAACCGCGACGAAGTCGATAGACGAATGACCGAGAACCGACTGGGAGCCTATGTAGGAATTGACCCAACTGCTTCCTCTCCCCACATCGGTCATCTTCTTCCCTTCATGGCTCTAGCTTGGATGTTCATACATGGCTATCACGCTGTCACGCTTCTTGGTGGTGCAACTGGAAAAATTGGGGATCCAACCGATCGATTGACCTCGAGAGACAAGGTCCATTCATCCGTCCGGCAAGCCAATTTGGTTGGTATGCATTACCAATTAAAAAAGCTTTGGGTAAATATCGAGAACTATGGGAGGCGGCATGGTTACTTTGAGGGAAAACCTTGGGCACATCATCGAGAGTTGGAAAACAACAATCAATGGTGGAATAGATTACCAATGTTGGAGGTCCTGTCCATTTTAGGGCCTGGTATGCGGCTGGGGCCAATGTTGGCTCGAGATACGTGAGTCTGTCAGTTCTGCCTAGCGATAAGTGCTGACATGTTTAGTGTCAAGAACAAAATGAGCAAAGGGGATGGTATGTCGTTCGCAGAATTCACATATCCCATTATGCAGGCTTGGGACTGGTGGCATATGTACCACAGAAAAGGTATACATATGCAAATTGGCGGATCCGATCAATTCGGAAACATCACGGCTGGAATCGATGCTGTTAAATACATATCAAAGAATCATCCAGAGCCGGACGTGTTGGAGAAAATAGAGGGCATGGGTGATCCCTTCGGCTTCACGGTACCTTTACTGACGACTGGCGGGAAAAAGTTTGGAAAAAGTGAAGGCAATGCAATTTGGCTTGATGCAGAACAAACCAGTACATTTGACCTGTATGGCTTTATGCTTCGCACGCCTGATGATGTGGTGGGAAACTACTTGAAGATGTTTACATTTCTTCCCATCAAAGACATTGATGCTGTGGTGCAGGAGCATCTTCTCGACCCTTCTGCCAGAAAAGCGCAGCATATGTTGGCTCGAGAACTTGTAGAGTTGGTGCATGGGCCGCATGAGGCAAAAGCTGTTGAGGAACAACATAGACTTCTCTTCCAAAAGAAGTCGGCCAACGTTTTAGACGACGCATCCGAACACGCTTCTTCCCCCCAGATCTCGGCAAATCCTCATCCTGACCCTAATTACATCACACTTAATAACCGCCCTAAAATCAACGTCCAGCTCCCAGCTTCAGTCCTCGAAACTTTGAGTATTGCCCGTATAGTATTCGCAGCTGGGCTCGCAGCTTCAGCAACCGAAGCCCACCAATTAGTCCAGAATCATGGAATTCAAATCGGTGGAATGGCAGGTAAAGCCAAGTCAAGCGAGCCCGGCTTCGTCATCTGGACCAAGGTCGCCGCATGGAAAAACGAAGAAACAGCCAAATATCTCATTGGTGGTGATCTTCTGATGTTGAAACGGGGCAAGCATAATGTTAGAGTTATTCAGGTTGTGCCTGATGAGGAATATACCTCTTCTGGACGCACTTATCCGGGCCAGAAGATTCGAAGCGGTCCGTTGAGTAATATGGAGTTGAGGAATAAGAAGGTTATGGATAATTTGAGGGGGCCGAAGGGGCAGGAGAATCTTGATGAGGATTGAATGGATTTTGATGGACTCTTCGCTGTACCAATAGGGGGTTCAAAGATGATTTTGTCAGCATGGTGTGTAAAATAACATGTAAAATATCATGTACAGTAAGCTGGACGGTTATAAGGTAGTCCAATATATACCCAATTTCTACTTCGGAATGAACATTCACCCTCACACACATGGCGACATCTCGCTCACTCAGTTCCCTATGTAGGAAGGCTGCTTATGGATAAATTTGTTACAGCAACGAAGATACGAGGTCAAGTCAACTAAATTGGAAGGACACCTCAGCTGTCCTTGACTGTACATAGCTAACTAGGTACTGTGGTGGGAACCCACTGTGGCCGTGATCCTTTGGGGCCGACTACAAAAGAAGTTATTTTCATATATTCAAAACCCGTCTACATTCAATTGGACCTCAACACAACGCTTCCACTCCCCTTCTACCTCTATCACAACAAGACAATCACAATATAATTACTCTATCATATAGGAGGGTATGAGTATCTTTTAATCTCCTTTTGTTATATCCTTGATCTTGGTCTCTACTTCTAATAGGGTTCTAGAAGGTGTCTCCCCTAATGCGCAACTCCGTTTAAGCGAGCGAGAAAGGAGAAGCACAAATGACAGTTGAAGAACAGTCGGTAAAAGTGCGATCATTACAGAAGGAAGAAACAACACTTGCTAGAATTATCGACTAATTTCACGACGCAGAACCAATGTCTGATAGTGCTCGTCCATGCAGTAGCGAATCGTAGATATTTAGGCTCCTCCACGTCTAAGCCTCACCACCACGCAGCCTACCACATACCACAGGCACCCGCCACCCTTCAACTCGTACACACACTCCGAGCACCGATATACTGAACTATATCACCATCACTATCATCTCACGAAAATAAAATGTCTCTGCCAAAGTAAAGTCTCCCCCCTAAATAAGAAAGCCAGACACACCCATGGCCCTCCTCCACCCCCGCTACATCCCCCCCTCAACCGCCATCAACGCCGCAAAACTCACCACGAAAACCATCCTGATCCTCACATTCCTCGTCCTCCTCTCCGTCATTCTCGGGGTCTTGACATGCTACTGCTGCTGCCAACGGCGGATCTGGCGATTCCGCGCGCGTCGGATCGCGCGCAATACCCAACCCGAGCCAGAAAATCCGCTCAAACCGAAAGCGAAGAGGGATTGGCGGTTTTGGGTTAAAAGTGAGAGAAAAAGTCGGGGGTTGGGACCGAGGATTCATGGGCGGAATGCGAGGTTTTATGCGCCGGGGTTGGGGAGGGAGAGGTTGGTGGTGCACGAGGAGGAGATGAGGAGGATTAGGGCGATGGAAAGAGAGAGGGTGGATGTTGAAGAGGTGAGGAGGCCGGGGAAGGTTTTTGAGAGGTGGAAGTGGGAGAGGGGTGTTTAGTTGAGGTGAGAGCTTGGGGGTGGATTGGGGACGTTGTGTGGGATGAGTTATTTGGTTGTAGTTGAGGGCGTGGCTTGAATGGGCTTGCATAGGTCGAATATTGCTCCCAGTTAGTCGTCCTAATTTTAATCGGTTATAATCGCTCGGATGGGGGGCCTCGATGTCACCGAGTCCAGCCTGTAAATATCTTTATGAATTCTCGGTCCATCCACTAACAACACACTGCCTGACATATTAGCCTGGTCAGCACAGATGCGTGAGTGCTCCATTGTCGATTAAACTTGCTTCCTCGAAGACTTGCAACTCTGTGATCCGTTTCTGGCAGGAGTTGGAAAATGGATGAGGTGGAAGGAGTCAAAAATATCATCAAAGTTTGACAGTGACGAGTATTTAAATAGTGTGATTTATTTGGCTATATCTACACGCTATCGCTACAGCACCCAATAAGCTTTAGTCCATGAGGTAGTTTTAGATGCACTCACAACTCTGATTTCGACGTTGGAACAGACCTCTTAGCTTTCCCAGGCCCAATTGTCTGATCCAAATGTTCATCGAGTTCCATCCATTCACTTACAAAAGCCGTCAGAATTCTGGCCCAATCTTCGACCGTTGCCATATCCAAATGTTCTCCGTCATCATTCGAGGTATGCCAAACCTGAGGGAATGGCGAGGGTATAATGTGTAAAATTTCAACTCCACGAGCCATAAATGGCAGATGGTCATCCTGTATGCCAAATGTGCTATGAAATGCATTTGGTCCCTTGTCGTATTCTGGTAAGAAAGGATGATCTGCATCAGACGCTGATGCAAGCAGCCCCATCGTTCGCATGCGACTCTCAATCAACGCCATATGCTGATACGCCCAGTGCGTCGTCTTGAAATATGAAGGGACTTTAGGTCTTGCAGATCCCAGCAAATCGAGCAGCACAAAAAGACTGATCGAGTCTAACGGATTTTGATATGTAGACAAGGCGGGGTGGAACTCGTACTCCCAGGCGTCGGCCAGCGATCTGGAATTGTCAACAATAATTCACAGAAAGAGAACCAATTGGTAATTACCTTGCACCATAAAGTGAGTCTGTATCCGACCAGCTCACAAATGCTTCTTCTCCATCCAAAAGCAAAATCTGTAGTCCCTTCTCTTCCTCCAGTCCATGACTTCCCTCTGCCTCCATCGCTGCCCACTTCTTCGTCAAGGCCTCGTCGACACTTCTCGCAGCATGCATAATCATCGCACATGGCGCAGCACTATCAATGGCGCCAATGAATCCGGGAGGGTCGAGTTTGCTGTCATAATGGGCAACCAATGCTAACCTCCCCACATCCCCAGGTTTCGCCCATGGTGGATCGCGTGTAATGATGATATTCACAAACGGCACCTGCTTGTCGCCTGTAGCAGGTGTCTTTCCGGTCGAGTTTTGGTAAGTGATTGACCACTTTGGCAAATGCGTTGCGAACCAGTCGACAAAATGCTGCTGAACCTGTCTCGAACCTGGTGTGCCAGGAACTCGAGGAATCAGAATCGGAGCCAGTATACTGCCAGTCTTGATGTCAAAATCTGACCCGGCAATGGGTATGTTTCGCAGACTTTCGTCTGAAAGAGGCGTCAACCCCAGCACTGGACCGAGGAGGCTGAGGGCCAGAACCAGCCAAATATGTGCCAGCATTCGCTGCAACATGATTGTATAGAGGCAAGATGCCTTGTCGCGGTCACCGTGGTGTTTTGAATATTCGTAGGATCATTGTCGTACTGGAACCAGACCAGAGATTCAACAATGGACGAACATCATTCTGCGCAACAAAGAAGTGTATCTGGCATCAGCAACCGACTGACGCGAGTGCGAGTCTGTGATAGATTGAGATCACGTGACCCCTGGAGCATTGAGTTTCGCGGCTATTGCGTCTGTCGATCTCGCGTCTCTCGACTACTCCTCTGGTTGCACTCTCCAATCTTCTCAATTGAGATACAACACTCACTGCGGCGATCCATATCTGACAAGAATGGAGCTGTTTGCAGTCAGCCTTGATATACTGACATTTCCTTGATTTTTGGCTCGAAATATCCACAGATCAATGATCATGACGACGCAGAGTCTGCTGTCACGCAGGATCTTGTCCTATATCCATTCGCCAGACCTTCGCACGCGGACTCTCATCACTCACATCAAATGCCGGCCTTGCGTCAAGTCTCAGATCCAGCTCAACTCCCAAGCACGATTTGCTAGTCGTAAACCATCAAGCTCGAGTCCAACTGTTTCCAAGAAAGTCGCTCGGGGCGACCCGCTTGTAGATAGGGAGCCCAAAAAGCCCAGTACGCCTAAAAACCTTCATCGTCCATTCATACACTGATAATTTGCTAGTATTTCCTGAAAGATTACTCATATATCATGCAGGTACTATGAGAATCGTCAATCTGGCTGGTATAAAAGTCGTCACAATCTTTGTTTTTGCATTTTTCACCATATATGCTGGGCCGCAATTCCTCTATTCTAAGGAAGACCCGTCTTGGGTTACCGCTGTAGGTTAGTATATCCAAATTCTTAACTAAATCATGCTCATTCGTCTCAGTTATGCTTTCTGGAATCCTTCCCGTGGCAATCGTCACTTACATGTCTGGACCATTCGTGAATTTTATTCATCTTCGATTGCCATCATACGCCCGAGCATCTACGGAAATCATGTTTCGGTATTCAAAAGCTCTCCCTAAGGATGCCGAACTTGATATCACCACTATGAACTTCTTGGGAAAAGTTCAAGTTTCTCGGATGAGAGTCGCTGAACTTTATCCCGTCAAAGAGAGAATGGGATTAGCTAATTATGCGCGAGATACGACAGCCATCAACGCCAGGCGGGCCTGGTGGAAAGGGAAAGTCGTTCGTCAATTCGGAGTTCATGCCGGAAGGAGTAAAATCTGGGGAGGCGAGGTGTGGAAAAACGTTGCCAGTGCCATCTCACGAAATTCGAAATTGAAGTAGCAGATAATTTTGGACAGTAGCGCTGTTGGTAACCTCCAAGCTGATGGGTGATGATTCTAAAAATTGTCACCAGAGGCCGAGTCTAGAAGGACCCGTTTCGACGCGCCGTCCATAATTGTCTAGCAACGAAATGTAACGCAACCCGGTCACCGTTAAATTGCACTACAACAATATCTTAAAACAAACGTCACACATTCTGCCAAAAGCGAGAAAGATCCGCCACCAGATGAAAGAAATATGCTAAAATTCAACATGTTCTTGAAAATGATCACGGTGCAGTTGAGAAGTCGAGCGTTATCATATGCTCGAGGAGTTATATTATCATCTCTTTCATTATCCAATGTGTCCGCATTACTTTGTCCTATGTTTATCTCTGTACCATCTTCATTCCTTGCTGTGCAGCTGATTGTTTCCCAGCAGATCGAACTGCTATCCTTTCACTACCAATTTACTCCTTTGGATATTTTCCGTACCCACCTGCAGGTGCTGGGTATTTACTGTTTTGGTAGGAACGTCAGCTCTTGTCTTCACTCTTCGGACTAATTGCAATTGCTCTAAAACGTTTGACATAGGGAGATTTAGGATAGACTTACCCATAGCCGCCGGCAGGTGCAGGGTATGATCTAAAGAGACAGTCTTGTCAGTATGATCCTCCCTCATGTTAAGATTCTCGAAATCAGGTGGACTAACCCATATCCAGAAGCAGGTGCCGGTACAGGTGATGGAACAGGTACGGGACTTGGTACTGGGGCGCCGTTATAAGTTCCGTAACCTCCAGCTGGTTTTGCTGTCCCGCATTAGCGTCTATCCCGCCGGAAGATCACATATCAACACTCACGATACGTTCCATAGCCGCTATAATCTGCAGGAGCCGCATCTGCCTCTGCCTCTGCAATGGGTGCTGCCATGCTTGCTGGGATTGCCATGAGGGCAAGAGCTGCGATGAAACGGAAATGCATTTTGGATATGAGTTCGAGAAATGGGACGCAGGATTGATGAGCGACTTGAAGGTCACGAAACTGTAACGACGGCGATGGTCGTCACTTTATATGCTATTGATGGCTTCCCACAAGCTCGAGCCTCTCGAGTGCCAACTGCAACACTTCGCTTTTCGAGCCGTGTGGAAGAGCCATGCCTCCCATCAACTCAAGTCTCTTCTCGGACTCATCCAATGGACTTCGACCAGGCGTATGCAGTTCGTACACTGTCAACAATAAGCCAACCGTGCTTTTGCTTACAGCTATGATTGGCGGGAAATGATAAGACGCCATGAGAAAAAGAGGAAGTCTGCGTTTTCCTTTTCGAATCGCTATTTTGGCATTACGAAGGCGTGACGTGGACTCCAATCAACCGAGCACCTCGCCCGGCTTGCGGCATTTCCCCAATTGTATGGAACAGGTCTCATGATATGGCATCCATCGTCCGTATCATGTGCTTAGTTTTAATTCTCGTCCCAGATTTATATCTGCGCATTTCTTTTCTTTTGTACTTGTCACTTGCAACTTTATATTCTCATTAAACTCTAGACATATTACAAACATCCAGTATCCATTACAAGATGTTTATCCCCGAAAAGTGACATTAGCGAAGTAGGGCTGAAAAATCATTCTCATCCAGATCTTGGTGGCGTTTGAGGCGTCTCCCAGACATCATAACGAGGCGATGCCAAGTATATTCATGTGAGGGGAAATATTGCTTTATTGTTTTTTCTTGCAGGAAATGCTCTCTTTTTAGCGGTCTGGCGGTGAAACACATTATGCATGCTGATGATTACGTTCAGCTGAATGAAAACGACACATTTGGTCGCTATTGATTGATTGATGTCTGTCGATTGGGATCGTGGGCAGAAGTCATTGATTGAAGGAACTATGCGTTGGGTCTGATTTTGACATTCAAATCAATCCTCGAGATGTGACATCGTGAGCTCTATAGCCAAAGACTCGTCGTTCATACAATGTTTAGGTCTGCGAAAGATACTGAATTCGCACCACTCCCTCAATCGGAATCGTGCGAGTCTGTCAATCTAACAGGAAACGACAACGATGGCAAAGTTCCATCACGGAAGTTGCCAACAACTTTCGTGTGTCTACTTCTCGGTGTGGCCTTCTTCCTATCAGCGATTCTAGGAGCTTTGTCGGGAATACTGTTGACCCAAGATCCGGACAAATACTGCTTTCAACGAACTTCGCGGTTCTGTAGGTATACCAATTCCCTCTTCATATGTTATTTGTTAATAAAACAAAAGCCCCAGTAACTCAAGACACCCAAATTTCCTATCATCTCACCCGATTCAACGGCTCTTTCATGCACGAAAATATCTACAGAAAACCAGCAAGTCCAGAAGTCGACGAGGCCTGGCAAGCGCTGGGTGTCGACTGTAAGCTCTTCCCATCATTGCCTTACTTTCTCGTGCTAATACGCATCAGATCGCGGTGCAGCCGTACCCCAAGATCTAGCAGCGAAATCCGGTCTCACGAACAAACACGTCCAAATCCAAGAAAAATACGGAGGCGGCTACCCAGCAAATGTAGAAGGCCTGCATCATCTCCACTGCCTGAACCTGCTAAGACAAAGTCTCTACTTCAATTACGCATACTACCAAGCTCATGGTGATGGTGCTTTTAGTAACGAAGAACCGATTTTACAACTACATATCAGTACATCCTCCCCTCTCCTCCCCTCCCCTCCCATTACTAACTCAACTAGCGCACTGTCTCGACATCCTCCGCCAACAACTAATGTGTACCATCGACGTCGGTGTTCTGGGTAGGGTATGGTATAACAAGGGCAATCCAACTGCGTTTCCGGATTTTAATACCGTGCATAAGTGTCGCAACTTTGAGGGGGTGAGGGAGTGGGCGGAAAGACATCAGATGCCGGAGGTTGTGCCGGAGGACTTTTATGTTAGGCCTGATTTGGGGCTGGTGGGGGAGGAGATGCCGTGATGGTGGAGTGGATGAGGGGGATGATTGTTGGGGATATGGGAGATTGGGTGGTTGTTGATTTGGTGTTGGGTTTTGGAGGCGAGGTAGGAGGGAGGTGTGGAGATTGTAAATGATGTGGGGAGTTGGTGGACTTTACTCACCGACTCGACTTATCTTGCTGATTGTAATTGTATCTGAGAATAATAAAATCTCCAATTAGGCTGAGTGATTGCAATCATATCTTTCTCTGGTGGCCATAGCTATATTGCAATTCCTAAGCGGGTCATTTGTCAATGGGAGATATTATTGCTTGTTGTATTACCTTGCGGTTATAGTTTCATACAGTTATCATTAAGCCGAAAACTATAACACGATAAGGATATCACCATTCATGTTTTGCGAAATTGGGCTAGCAATGAACTCGAAAACACCGTAGCATCTGACAGAAAAATAAGAGTTAAACAGGTCTATCCCGACCACCTGCAACTAAAAGTCTTACTCATAACTCAATGATGGAATATCTTCAGCACATCCTACGTTAAACAAAAGTTCAAAACGCACAATTCAACCGTCAAACCTCACTATCCTCAATCCTTCACTTTTTGCTTACTAACATCTGGTGAGCTCACCATCAACACAACGTCTGGTAGATATTCACTTTCGAGACTCTCATATTGACTTTTGAAATGATTTGTGCATTCACGTCGGAGAATCACCCACGATGTGTAAGCGTCGCAACCTCATGTTCCAATATAAATGCCCTCGATGATCCATTGGAGATTCTTAACGACTAGATCTAACCAGTAAACCAGACCCAACAATCTTAGAACACCCCCTAGACTTCCGATCTCAGCATCAATATCACCATGCCAAAGAACCCAAACCCGCACCATTTTTTCCGAAGACGGAAGAAAATCAACAAAGTCACCGCTGCGTCGCAGAAATCGAATTCGATAACGAAAAATCGGAAACCTAACACAGCAGCGCAAAAGCCGTCTGTAGGATCAAATTTACAGAAACAAAAGGGAATAATAGTAGAGCCAGATGAATATCAACTTGAAGATGAAAATCCGGAGCGGGCTTATACAATTGTTAGGGAGGCGGCGACGAGATATATTGAGAGGATGATAGCATTGAAGACGGCTGCGGCATTAAGAAGGGAGGAGGGGAGGAATGAGGAACAGACACTTGCTACAAAGATCTACACCCCCCAACCAAACGCAAACGCAGCAACCCTCCTCCGCTGTACACTCCTCAATGCTCTTCACAGCAACACCTTCCACCCAGTCGAACGAATAGATAAAATCGGATTCTTTGCGCGGGATATAGATCGCGAACGAACGCGCTACGCTCTCAATGTCGAAGAAACCACATTTTCGGAAATGCTAGCGGATCTTATAGCTGAAGGAAGTCTAAAAGCAGATATCAGCACATACACCTCCCCCTACCTACCCCGAACCTCGCAATCCCCAAAACTCGCACATATAATTCAAATCCGCGCCGCTGTTTATACACCCTCAAATGAGACGCTGGTTCATGAGGGGTATAAAGCGGAAGTTTGGATGTCCGTTTTGTTCTACATGGAACCAAAAACCTGGAAATGGAGCGAGGTAGTCAGGGTGATGCGCGACGGTGCGGACGCGGTGTACGGGGTTGACGGGGAGGTACGACGGGAGTTTTTGGGGCGGAGAGGGGAGTTTATTGATGGGTTTGTTGGATGGGTGGAGGTTTTGAGGGGGCCGGTGGGGGGGTATTTGTTGGGATTGGGTCAGGAGAAGGGGGAAAGCGATGATGTTGTAAAAGGGGGAGGATGAGAGGAAGTAGTCTATATATGCTACCTCTGTTTTGATTAACCTTCCAGTTCCAACAACTCATCCCTCCTCAATTCTACCTCCTGCCATAACTTATAATGCGTCCGCTCACAAAGTGCCTCATGCCAAATTACGCGTCGAATATGGTCTTTCGCCTCCTCCCACGTTTTAAGCTCCAGATTTTCCACATTTCTGACTAAATGCGATACAAACCACACTCGTTCAGGTAAACCATCAGCAGTAACTCCACCTACCGCGAAGATCCAGAGGAGAAGTGTGTTGCAAGGTGTATTCTCAGCAACGATCTTTCTCAAAGTCGATATGAGGGAGTGTAAAAGACGATTGATCGCCAGCGTGCCATCGGGCGGTAGACCTCTCCATGGCGCGAAGACATGAAGAAGTGTTGCAAATCTTGCTGCTTCAGAGATGAATGATGCTTGTGGAGGTATGCTTAGGAGATGTGATAGTAAGGCGCACGTTCGACTTAGTATTGTGAGTGAGGTCGCTGCTGTTGGATACGCTGTACTGGAGGGAACGAGTTGGGAGACATGCTGAATGGAGATCAATACCGAAGCTACGGGTTCTCCGAGGCCCATGGCGGTTAGATCGATTGACTGATCGTGTAGAGGGGCGATATCCTCAAATTGTGAGATGGAACCAAGATATAATGGTAATTCTGGGTCCAATGGAGGGTATTCGCTCTCGTACATAGATACGACGAACATCCAAAAGATCAGGTTCGCTACCATCGGACCGCTTAATCTAATAGCTTGTAGACCTCCCCGTAAATCGATCATTGTCTTTAATCCGTCCATGTGCATTTTGAGCATTTCCACATTTCCTCTTTCGTGCTGCTCCGTGTTAAAAATGACCAGTAATAAACATGGTGAGCTTACCTCAACTGCAGCCATCGTAGCAACGGCACCCAGTGTCTCGTCAGATAGGGCATCATGATGTGCGTTTTCGATTCGGTCGCGGAGAAGCCGAACACACTCCGCTCTCAAGTGAACCACATTCGATCGTTGCATAGAGTGTGCTTCTAGCCTGAAAGTTGCAAGTTGAAGGGTGGCATGAAAGAGAACAACATCGTTTAGCACTAATGGGATATAATATGCACAGGTTGGATTCGTTGTTGAAGCTGGCTGCCAAGGGAATGATTTGTAGACTGTTAAGCTAAGATCTTTGACGAGTCAGTAGTCGATGATTTATTCTACGTAGGATCACACTTACAATGCTTCATCAGATCATCGAGACCAGACACGCGACCGTTTGGATAAGTTTGAAATGGATCAAGTGATCCCGCATCGATGATTGGCGATATTGGTACATTTGTCAGCGCACTTTCGCGCGATGCCACAATACTAACTCCTGCATCATCATTATCGTTTACAGATATTCTTGGTACGATAGGTCGTAAAACAGTCACATCTCGCTGTAATGTGCTCCTATAATCGCAAGGCTCGGGGTCCGTAAATTTCCTGGAGCAATTACTACACACAGGTCGAACTTCATCGCACTGGCTTCATTAGTTTCCAGGTAAATCTAGTGTACTAAATAATATATGCTGACCTTCATTCGACGCTCTTTACATATAGTGCAACCAGTTCTAGACTTTCTGTGGGACCTCCGAGTCGTTTGTGAACCAATATCTGATAGCCTGATGATGCTAAACATTTCTCGTTTGGTGCTTTCGGCACCTTGGTTTATGAGGATATGGCCGTGATAACGACTATGTGACATAAGCTTTTTGTTTTATGAAGTTACGATTAAGGTGCATTTCGGTGCGCGTCATGGGTGTTTGAAATCATTGGTAATGTGGTGAGATTTGCCACCTGTACCTAACTTGGTGATAATATGCATGTTATTGGCTGAGTTGACGGTTAATGTATGCCTACCTGCATGAAGTTTAGGTGTCCCTTAAAGTGCTAAGAAAGTACTTACCGTATTAGCAAAGCACTGCTCCGTTGAGCATAATTTAGGGAGCTTTTGAAGAAGATATGAGTATTCTGGATTTGTAATGGTTTTATTACATCACCGTCCGCAGTCATACATAATACTTTCGTCCGGTAATACTGGTTTCGTCACCGTCCTCAATATCCTGCATTATCAGACCAAGAATTTCCACCAATATCCATCAAGCCATATTCCTCAGCTTGACGACGTCTGATATCTTCATAATCATGTACATACCTCCATCTCCTCCCAAAATTCTCGTCTCGCCAGACATAATTACGAGCCAGCCCAGGCATACCCCAGTGACAGAAAAGGGCTACGAGAGCCTTACCATTCTCTAAACTTGGCTGATCTCGATTTATTTGCACGCGCACGGTTCTGATCCAGTCACGATCTGAGACTAGAGCCGCCCACTGAAGCATGCCATGCAGGTCACTAGCCAATCTTGCATGACTTCCGGATCTGTGGTTGCGTGATGAGCATTGAACTCGAATACTGTGAGTGGATTATCCGGACGTGTGAGGTACTGCATGGCAGAGTATGTACGGATAATAGGACCATCTGCCAAGTTTGAATTGAACAGACTGATTGCTTCTGGTAAAGAGACACAATGGAGAACCATTTCGTAGAATTGTGCAGGTGTTCCGACTAGCCGCCCATTAGACATGATGAAGTTATGCTCTGGGTCTCCGGTGTTTGACAGCCATTGCGTCTTGCTGATATTTTGGTAGATGGTGTCTAGCGGTTTCTCATAAACCCATAGCAATCCAAGTAGTTTAGCCATGTGCTTGGGCTTCATCGGGTAATTTCCAGTTCCAGTGAACACTCTGAAGCCAGGCCAAGGAAGAGAATTATTGAAGGCGACTGGATCATGATCATCTGGCAACATACGTTTGAGTACTTTGCAAATACTTTTGAAAGCCTTGTTGGAAGTGCGCTGTCCATCTTCAAATCTAAGAAGTGGTGAAGTGATTGTAAGCGATGACAGAGTCGGTCCACGAGTGACTATCCAGTACTTCGATGCTGTCTCGTCGCAAGTTTGGCTGGAAACTCTTGCAGGAATCATTCCTTCCCAGAAGTCTGCAAGGTGTTGTTTGGTTGGTGTCGGAATGTTTTTGACACAAAGTCTGAGTCTCACCTCTTCCAAGGCTTCATCATAAGTTCTATCGACAAGAACATGTGAAATATCAAAGTCTAGCTCAAAGCCGTAAACGAAATATCGATCTAGTGCCTGGCATCGCTCTATTCGTTGCTGCTCCCAGTCAATACACTGGTTTCTCGTGGCGATCAAAGCCCTCTGTCGAATTCTCTCGCGAGCTTCCCGATCCATGAGAGACGCGAAAAGAGTTGATAACGTTTTTGGTATGATAGTCGTACGAGATATAGTGATAAGAACAAAGAATGAAGGCTGAGGGGAAGAATTTGAATGTTCATGATTACACTGTTCATGGCTCGAATATGTCGAGAACAGAGTTGAAATCTGTACAACTGATATAAGTAGTAATCTCAAACGCAGAAAGAGAAGACCTCGAGGTGAGTTGTCAATGAATCGTGTAAGACTGGCAGAGGTTGCGCAAATGAGCATGACGCCTTTTTACGGAACGACACGGGGTAGTAGTAATAAATCAGGAGCCAGTAGTCAGGTAACTGCAGATGGCGCATATCGGCTGTAAGATAGAGAGATAAAGCTAGAAAGTACAAAAGTTTTGGCTTTAAATTTGTGATCACTTACTGATGTCAAAGGTATGACTCCATACGCCTGATACGAAGCTAGCTGAGTATATGACTACAAATCGCAAAGCGCCTCTGAATGATATCCATGAACGTATCGGATGGCTGGATGACTTAGTCTTGTTCTATTAACGTTCAGTGCGTTGTACTCTATCGGTAGCTATGTCCCGATAAGCAAGTGGCTTCTACGGATAGAGAACAACAAACCCTTTCTGATGAGCTTAATCTTGACAACGCCCATTCATTCAAATTGCGATCTCAAGAAAAGATTTCAGTTTCTTCTGTTCTTCGTTTGACTTGCGAATTCTTCGACTTCGATTTTGACTATGTATTCCCCAGGCACGACCACCAAACCCAAATAGCGGCTTGTCATATCCAAAGATACACTTCCTGTGCCTTCATCAAGATTTTTGGGCCGCGGCGGCATTCGGTATTCAAATGTATGAGCGAGAATAGTGTTTCGGTCCTAAGGAGAGTTTAGATTATGCTTCTTAGACAAAACAGCAGTAAACGTGATGGTGTGCCTACAGAGTCTGTACATTTGAACTGCCCCAAGAACATTCGGGAGTCGGAAGTAGTGATTCGAAGGTTCTTGTTGAGAAGTGATTTCAAATAATCTTGTGACTGAGATTGCTCCATTGCAATATTGTTTTGGTACTCGCGACTTGTCTATCGTCGTCGGATCAGTATGTATTTTGCGAGAAGACGAGGATGGATTTGACTTCGGCGTTAAGATCTACGCTAAGATAAGATAAGATCAGTCAGACCCACAATCATCTTGGATCGAGTCATCATCGTCATTTGTATTCACCTGAAGAGGACTTTTACAATTGCCCATCTCTAGATGTTGAGACCTTTTCGAGATTCATCTATACTTTGTTCGGCTCCATGGAGTAACACTTCGTCCCGGCGACATGTCAGTTCGCGTCAGCTTGTTTACATGGTGGCTTCGATGACATTTTCAACTACACTGACGCCTTGAGCGATACGCCACAGCTCCTTTCGACCAAGAAGAAGATAGGTTTCGACGTCTAGGACCCCATCATGGGTGTCAAAGGACTATGGCCGATTCTCCATGATTGCGCCCGTCCCACACCTCTTCCGACTCTGAATAGGAAACGTTTGGCCGTGGACGCGTCAATATGGATCTATCAATTTCTCAAAGCAGTCCGCGACAAGGAGGGCAATGCACTGCACAACTCGCACATTGTAGGATTCTTTCGACGGATATGTAAACTTCTGTTCTTTGGTATAAAACCAGTTTTCGTATTCGATGGCGCCGCGCCCGCCTTGAAGAAGCAGACGATTTTGAAGCGGAAACAGAGGAGGGAAGGTCGAAGAGACGATGCGACACGAACGGCCGCGAAGTTGTTGACGGTGCACATGCAGAGAAGAGGCGAGGAAGAAGCAGAGAAGAGAAAGAAAGCCAAGCAGCGCGAACGAGAAGGATTGCAGCCAGTTGCGGACGATGAGGAGGGTTTGAAGGAGGGCGAGGAGATTGTCTATGCGGATGAGATGGGCATGAGCGCTCAACAACGGACACAAAACCGAAAGTTCAAGAAAACGGACGCATACCATCTCCCCGAACTTGATGGCGGCATTGAAGGGATGCGACAGGCGAATGACCCTAGGGTCATGAGCTTGGAGGAGTTGGAGGAATACGCTCAACAGTTTCACAACGGCGAAGATGTCAATTTGTACGATTTTAGTAAGATCGACTTTAAGGGCGACTTCTTCAACAGTTTACCACCGGTTGATCGGTATAATATCCTTAACGCAGCTCGGTTAAGGAGCAGAATGAGAATGGGAATAGGCAAGGAGCAGCTCGAAGAAATGTTTCCCGATCGAATGGAATTTAGCAGATTTCAAATCCAGAGAGTTGCGCAGCGTAATGAGCTTACACAAAGGCTCATGAACTTGAACGGGATGAACGAAGGAGATTCGTTATATGGAGTAGGCACCCAGCGTATCGCAGGAGAAAAGGACCGCGAGTACGTGTTGGTTAAAAATGAGGGCGTAGAGGGCGGGTATGCTTTAGGTGTTGTTAGCCTCGACAAGTCTGTAGGAGAGCGAAACAAGCCCATCGATGTGGACGCCCTAGACCAACAAAAGCACGAAGCTCAAGAAATAGAGTCTGAGGACGAATTCGAAGATGTCCCAGTCGAAGGTTTGAATCGCTTACCGAAATTGAGACAGAATATTGACTACGCTGAATTTGATGCCCAAAACCCATCAGAGGCGGTAGATAGTCTGTTCGTAGACGAAGCTGGTTCATCTGCGGACGCTAGTAATCTTTTCAATGAGGATGAGGATATGAGTCGGGCGATTGCCCTTTCGCTGCAGCAGGAGCCTGCCGATGAAGAACTTTCTGAGACCGAGCATCTCAATCGCGCCATTGCTCTGTCACTTCAAAACAACCATGCGCACGAAACAGATGCTGAAGAGGACGAAGAATTCGAAGATGTCCCGATGCCAGAGTATAAACAAGTTGCGGTGCAAGTTCAAAGGCCACTTGCTAGTTCTAGTAGAAGCAAAGTAGCTAACATTATCAATAATCGTGCAAATGCTGCTGTTCCTAAAAGGAAAGCAGTGACTGCAGATAGTGATAGTGACAGCGATATGGATCTCCAAGCCAGCCTTGCCAGGGCGAGGAGAAAGAAAGCTCCAGAACCGAGACCTTCGCACCCTCAGCCGGTTAGGGAGAACAAGCCGAACCTTTTCGATGGTCCTCTTCCATTTGAGAAGATGGACTTTAGGAGTTCAATATTTAAGTCCAAGTCACAAGCTGCACCCAGAGACGACCCCCCCAACACAGAAGCAGCAAAAGATGATGAGGAAGAAGCTGGTGGGTTTGAAAAGGAGGCCGAGGAAGAATCAAGACCTCTACCCCCCTGGCTCATGGGTGCTGGTGATATCCGCTCCGAGGTGAAAGAGCAACAGAAACGGGGCCAGGAAATTGATGCTGAGGATAAAGAAAGGGCGGATAGGGAAGAGCGGGCATATCAAGCCAACTATGCGCCAATTCAGATCGATTCATCGGACGAAGATGATGTAGAGATTGTGGATGCGCCAAGTCCAACCCACCAAGGTTCTAAAATGGAGGATCTGGTGAGGGATACGACGGATAATGAGACAAGCCTACCTACAAGGAATGTTCCTTTTTCCAAGTCAGTCACGCCCGAAAAGGTCGCGCGAGCGGCTTCCTATGTATCTGCTCAGGTAGGAGATGATGATGAACCAGTTGAGTGGTCGGAAAGCGATCACGAAACCACTGTTGCGAAGCCCAAAGACGTTGAACCGACAGCCGATGTGACTATGTCAAAGTCTCCGTCGCCAGTATTCGAGGATGTGGAAATGTTGGATTTGCAGGATTCCACCAGTGCTTCCGCAGCACCCAAAAATACTGGCGTTCAGTTCGAAGATGCCGGTACTATTTTATCACCGCAGCCAGCTGTTACCGACCTTCCTCTTCTGTCTGGTAATAATGGAGAAGACATCGTCGGTATAGACAACTCGGACTCGTTTGATGAGTTCTCGGATCCAGACGACGAAGAGCTTTTAGCACAACTTGCAATGGAAGCAGAAACCCATGATGAATTTGCCAAAACTTTAAATTTCAAGACTCCAGCTGAATCACAGGCTGCTTATGAGAAGGAACTCAAGGCTTTGCGAAACCAACAGAAAAAAGATCGCCGTGATGCTGACGATGTTACCTCAGCAATGAACCAGGAGTGTCAAATTTTGCTCAAGAAGTTTGGAATTCCATACATTATTGCGCCTGGGGAGGCGGAAGCTCAATGTGCAGAGCTCGTACGTCAAGGGCTCGTGGATGGAGCTATCACAGATGATTGTGATATTTTCCTGTTCGGGGGCACGCGTGTCTACAAGAATTTGTTTAATAGCAACAAAGACGTCGAGTGCTACCTGCAAAAAGACATCGAGCAGGAATTGAGTCTTGGCCGCGACCAAATGATCTCCCTTGCGCAGTTATTAGGAAGTGACTATGCGGAAGGTCTTCACGGCGTTGGATCTGTCACAGCCATCGAGCTCCTTTCTGAATTCTCTTCGCCTACTGGCCTTCAAGATTTCAAACATTGGTGGACATCAGTACAAGGCCCCCACCCACCACCTCTATCCGAAGAAACCTCAACCTTTCGCAAGAAGTTCCGCCGCGCACAAGCGAGCAAATTGTTCCTACCAGCCGGCTTTCCAAGTCCGGCTGTCGCAGAGGCATACTACAAGCCACATGTAGATTCCAGCAAGGAAGAGTTCAGATGGGGTGTACCTGATCTCGAGGGACTGCGAGGGTTCTTGATGCAGACGATTGGTTGGTCTCAGGAGCGAACTGATGAAGTTCTGGTTCCAGTGATTAGGGATATGAATCGTCGTGAGCTCGAAGGTACCCAGAGTAACATTACCCGTTACTTTGATGGCACGGTCGGTGCTGGTGCGAAAACCGCAGCACAGGAAGCGCGCGAGGGTGGAAGTAAGAGGATGAAAGAAGCGGTCAATAGACTTAGGGGGAAGAAGAAGTCGGGGCTTACGGTCGAGGAGATGGGTACGTTTGCTGATGTAGGGAGGGAGTGGGCGTTGAAGAATCCTGCTGGGAAGGATTATGGTAAAGTGAAAAAGGGGAAGAGGAGGGGGAAGAAAGGTGCTGTGTCGGAGGAAGGGGAGGGGAATGAGGGTGATGATGATAATGCTGAAGGAGCGGCGGATGGTGATGGAGAAGATGAGGCGGATGATGAGAGTGGAACGCTGGATGAGGATGAGTATAGGGAGTCTGAGTCTGGGAAGAGGAAACAGAAACCCAAGATTCCGGCGAGACAGCCAAAGAGGAAGAAGGCTAAGACTTAGATCTAGGATAGCTGTAAACCAAATCACGTGTTAAGTTTAGGGTAATACAGAAAACAATCCTTATGGGGGCTTTCATTATTGTTCTGTGAGGATCTATAAATCTAATCTAACAACAAAAAGAAAACAATCTTACAAGCAAAGAAATCTATACTAACCCGGGTATTTCCTAAGAGCCATCTATCTATCCCAACACCACCCTAATTGTCTCATTCCATTCTAATAAGTAACCCTCACCACCCTCCCCTCCCCCTTCACCTCGTCCCATCCCCCCACACAAGCCTCAAAAACCCAATTCCCCAAATCCGCCCGCGAAATCGTATATCCAATCGCCTCCCCGCTCCACTCCCTCCCCTCCGTCTCCTCTCTCACAGCTGCGCGTCCTAATAGTGGGCCATTGGTAAGTAGACTCGCGTGTACGAGCGTATAGCCCCCTAACACATTCTTCTCAGAGACAAAAGAGGAAGTAATAAGGGATTCCATGCTTTTCTTATCCTCATGCGCGGATTCCAGCAGGATTTTATACAGCGGGAGGAACAGCCATGGGACGTCGCGGCCGAGGACGCTGATTCCGGTGGTGCCTAGGGTGATTAAGTATGGTTTCTTGTTGTTTTGTGGGCGGGAGGAGAGGACGGAGAGGATGGTGGTGATGCCGTCGGCGCAGAGTGTTGGGTCTGAGTTTACGAATTTGAAACCCCGGAGTACGGGGTAACAGCCTATGCCGCTGATGATTATATCGACGACCTCATCGGTGGCGGAGAAGAGGGTTTTAGACACGGCGGCGGGGTCGCGGATGTCTCCTGTGATAATCACAAGATTTTGGGAGATTTGGTCTGATGGGATGGCGGAGGATGCGAGTAGATCGAGTAGTTTCTGCGGAGTGCGAACGACTGGGTGTGTTAGCTAAGCGGGTAGAAAAAGGGGGGAGAACGGACGGGCGCGGCAGTTATGTCCTGCTTTTAGGGCGAGAGTAAGGGTTGTTAGGGCTGAGAGGCCTGTTGCGCCGAAGAAGGCTAGGGTTGGGAGGGTAGACATTGTGATAAGGGTTTTTGGTTGACGGGTTGGCTTTTGAAATGATGGATTGTTGTGGGAGATGAAGGCATTTGGACGGGAATGGAATTGGACTATATAGATTTTCTGCGACGAGCTGTGAAGTTACAATTCACCCGACTTTCAAAAGATGAGGTTTTGGCGTTCTGACAGGTGGGGATGTGGCGTTCCCGAGGGACAACTTCGTTCCGGTGGCGTGGTGATGGGATCCACTGGGAAAGCTTATTTTTGGAATGGTCCGGTCAGGTGGTTTACCTCGATTTTGTGGTTTGGTTTGGTTTGAGTTTGCTGGAAATGCTGAAAGACTATACTAAATCCTTAGGTAGAGAATCTGGGTTATTGAGAGAATAGAACACATAGGGGCGACATATCAGTTGGAAATTGCTCAAAAAGAAAATCTTGACGCTATCACATGACTTGAGACTCTAACTCTTAACAATAACGCATTCAAATTTCAAATCTAATGAACAACTAACACGACTGTGTCCCCCTCGCTGATATCGATTACAACAATAGATCCGACCAACTAATATTGATCGCAGATACCCCTAGCGCAGTAATAGCCGAAGCTCAGACCCTTTAAAAAGACTGCCACGTTTACATACCAGGAAGCTTTGCGAGCCCTACAACAAATTAGCATATACTCATCAACAGAGAGAAGCGGTAACATACATCCATCAACCGGCTCCGCAACAAAGTCCTTGACAGTACATTTGTTAGCAGTAGCCATAGGTTGCTTCTTGATAGAACCGCAGCCATCATAGAAGCACTCGGACTTGGCCATCGCATTCTTAAGGGAATCGCCTTTCCAGCCAAACATGTAATCGGCGTGGGTACCTGCGCCGGTCCCCTCGAAGCTCCATACGAATGGATTCTTGGCGCCGGAAGTCCACATGCTGTTGAACTTGGTGGTATCCCAGACGGTCTCGAAGGTCACTTGTGGGACGCGGACGGGGTGGGTGGAGGGACATTTGCCGGCGTTGGTGAAGCCTTCTGAGGTGACGGTGTTGTACATGTGGGATTGATGGTCTGGACTGTCGAGGTTGACACCGTCCCAGCATCTGAGATTGGTTAGTTTGAGGTTATGCTATGAGGCTGGCAAATTGCTTACGCTGGGAAATGGTGGGTGGTAAAGATACCGGCGGAGCAGGGTCCGGTAGGCATGGTCTTTGTGATTGTTCCTCTGTTGTTGCCGCTTTGGCATTGGTAGCTCAATCCCGCGTGGGCAGTGCCTGTCACAGCTGGACTACCCACTGTCATACGGAAACCCTTCGAGGTGTCAGCTCTTGTTAGCAGTGATAAGTTGGAGTGAGCTTACAGGCTTGAAAGTTGTGATTGGCTGCGTAGAGAGCCTATCATTGGAAAGATCGAACTGAGTGTAGTAGACAGTAAGTCCACCCTTAGCACCATCGGACCCGCCAAGCAGAGGCGTAACTGGAAGATTTGGTACACGCATATAGGAGCCGTTGGTAGGATGCTTGAAGTATAAGGCGGCAGTCCAGTAATTTGAGAAATCCCTATTTTGTAAATCAGACTTCTAGCACGCACGACACGGGTCTGAATGAACAACTTACTCAGACATTTGGCAAGTTGTGCAAGTAGCCCTCTCCCCAACATCACCGTTCATGGTAGCATTGAATGCATTTCCACCCACAATATGATGAACATGAGTCGAAGGAATCGCTCCTGGCTGAACAACAGGATCGAGACGTTGAACCGTCAATTCGGAACACGGGAATCGCAGACCAGCCTGAGCCGACCCGATAATCGAGAGGAATCCGATGAGAGACTTCATCTTGGCTGTGAATTGGCTCTTGGTACTTCTATCCTGAGTAGAAAGCTGCCTGCGTGTAGAATTAAAGTCTGACGAGAAAGCAGGCAAGCCAAGAAGACCGGTCCACTCGCCTCCTATATGTTCGAATCTAATCATAAGCACCTTCTTTCATCCCTTATGACTTGCCGATCTTGTTCAACCACCAGCGTCGGCAATCTGTTTACTAGACATTACCCGTGTGTGGCCACAAAAGCCGACAATGAAAATAATTTAAATAGGAGTTGGGGACCAATCATTTGGGAAATGTAACACCACAGCAATCGTCCGGTGATGTGCCAAGTGGTTTTTGTGATCGTTTTGTAAGTGCCGACAATAAGAGTGGTAGAGTGGCATGGCTTGATGAACGAATCAGTTAATACCCATATTGCCGATGTACAAGGGAGATCGTCCGGGTATATAGCTTTTTGGCCTTCGAGATAAATCTCATAGATGTTAATTAAATGATCGGAAACACTTAAGCGACGTATTTTAAGCTCATGGTAAGCTTTTTCTTAATTGTGAAGATACGCATGTGCTTTTTAGCGAATCAAAGGTGCCGTTTAGAAGAGCTGACATGTTGTGCGAACCGCACGAAGGAATATGGATACATCCACGAGGAATAAAAGGTCGAATACTCGGCGGTTTCTTGTAGGCACGGCAATTTTCATTGTAGGTAAAGCATTCGATTGAGTGGCATAGTAGCATTGTGTTGTTCGAGATATCTGTAAGCGAGAATGTCTTTTCTGGTATTTCAGAGGAGTTATTGAGGCTGATCTGATCGATGAAGATACATTTAAAAAGCTGCAGAGCCTTGCACTCCATACCATCTAGATGGATTTCGGCCGAAACAAGATGATTAATATGTGAGCGTTGCTATAGAACCCATTTGCTGCAGACCTGGTCTTTGGGATTGCCCAGTTTTGGTACATGTGTGCTTTGGGCTACGATTCAGATGTTGAGTTTGCCATACAATAACAGGTGTATTGTAGCTTCAAAGAGGGAAGTTTTGAGTCGGCTACGCGGCTGTAAGTGACTGTTACCCAGTTGCATCTTCTTTCGAGGGCTGTAATAAGGGCGACACTTCCGCACTTATGCGCATGCTTGAAGCAGCCTACTGAAAATAATTAGTCGATGAATCAAGAAAACTCTGCAACAAGAATGTAATTACCAGCTGGTCGTTGTTAAGAACAAAAAACGATAGGGATCGGTTTCAAAGTCCTGTTTCGGTGAGATTCATCGACGTAACATCATATCTTGGATTCTTCAATCCCATTGTAACAAGAAATGTGCAATAAACTTTGTACCGAATACTAGACCGGATTCCGTGGTCGGACTGGCGCTGGTTTGTCCACCACAAGTGGCAAAAATGTGTGAGCTTGCAAACCTGTTTTCTCTCAAAACAGCAATTGCCAAGCATTACCAAATGTGTCGTTACCGTCACGATTTGACTGTTTTGAATAGGCTTACTGTCCTCTAGTACCATCAAGCCAGAAGATGAATCGTGTTGACATTCGAGCGTCTGATACAGACGATCTTGATTCCTGGTTGAATCTGACCTTCGAGATAGGTTGAGCAGTTAAGCAAAAGCTTAAATCGAGAAGAAAGCGATCGTGCAAGATGTGCCATATCCATTTCGATGACCAGCTTTAGAAGTATAGGGTGGATTATTTGGGACGGGTGTGCCAAAACGGGTGTCTTGAGCAAAATAGCATTACTATTTCTTCAACCTCTCCATATGATATCCCTGTGAGAAGAAAAAAGGCCAAAGAGAAACGGGAAGAGAGTTCTCAACAGCATTCATGAGCCAACACCAAAATGCTGATTCCCCCATCCAGAGTACCTTACTGGGCCCTGTTAGCAGCTTTTGCGCAAGCTGTTTCGTAAATTCTTTGGGATCCATTCCAGTCGTAGCCGCAATAACCTGTCTTTCCACAAAGCCATCTTCAATTGGCTTGAAGAGACTATCCTCCTTCAAGCTGGTAATACCACGCATGCACATACCACCGGTCTTCACATTCCCCGCTTGTATATACACGACCTTTACTCCAAATAGCGCGAGTTCTACCCTCATACACTCGCTGTATGCATAAAGAGCTGCCTTCGTCGCGCAGAAGACAGAGTAGAATGGAAGCGGAATATGACCCGCAACCGAACCAACATTCACAATCGTTCCCTTTGCGAGAAGAATTTGGGGGAAGAAGGTTTTGGTTAGGTCCATGACTCCGATGATGTTACTTCCAAACATTTGTTTCGCTTCGGACATGTCGATTTCGATCGCGGGACGGACGATATCTGGAGGATGATCGTTAGTATGAAGAAGGTATCTGGTGAGGATTTTGAATACTGTTCCCTGCGTTATTGATGAGAAAGTCAAGGCCCCTTCCATCAAGCAGTTGCACGATCTTTTCATGGCATGCTTTTACGCTTTCGGCGTCATCCACTACGAGAGTCAAACAATTTATATCCAAGGCTTTTAAATCTGTGAGTTTGTCAAGTGTTCGAGCAGTTGCAAAGACAAATAAGCCGCGGGATTTGAATTCTTTTGCCAGTGCATTTCCAATCCCACCTGGGCTACAACTACGTGGATGTCAGAGATGATTCTCTGCAGTCGGAAGACCAAAGAGCGGGAGAGCTTGGTTACCCAGTAATCAGTACTGTTTTCTGTGGTGAAATCTTCATGCTGGACGGCGTTATGAGGAGTTCAAGTCTAAAGTCAAACTACCTGAAGTTATGATGTTGGACTTTGAAGTTGGCACCAACAGGCTGCTATGGTGCCGACTTCTTCACTCTGAGTAAGAAGCGCAGCTGGAATGAAGCTAAATAACATACAACATGCCAACATGTACCAACAAAATTTTGTCCACGCTTATACACCCATGCCCAGAGACATCTTCCATCGCCACCTTTGGTCAACAACTGACGCAGCCCTACCTCTGTTGATTCCCCCATAGGAGTGTGCATCCTCTTTCTTTACACTCCACCTGCAGCTTTGCGGAAAATATAGGACTAGTTGGATCCGTTTTGACACCAACAAACTTCCATATTTGTCCTAATCGTCAGTGAACCTGGCACGGGCAGCATTCCAAGCTCGAAATGGCTTCTTGTCATCTTGACACCAGCTATCCAATGGTTTGAATAATACGGGTTTCACAGAAGAGACAAACCCACCCACTTGATTGTTTTGAGCTCCCCTTCGTCCACTCAATGATCTTGGGTCTCGCGCTCTTCTTTGCGAAAACGTCTATCTTCTTGTTCTATCTCTGGATATCCTCAGTAAATACCAGAATCAAATAATCCGGTAGAATCAAGATCAGCGAAGTCCCTAATATCGATTTACTACTATACCCTATACTATTATGATATAAGGACGTAGCCAAAATAGAGTCTGATGGAATAGCGCGTACAAGTTAACACGGTGGGACGTTACTATATAAACTTACGTATCAGAGTCAAGTGACTCTTTTGACCGCCTAGTAGTCAAAACATGGAATTAAAGTGTTTGTTTTTGTGTAAAAGAAACTGGGTTCAAAAGCTACGGCAGTGAGTTTTGTGACTTCCAGGTTTTGTTGTCGGCGCTCGGAACTGTCGTGGCGATCGGGCTCCGGTGTCTCCGATTTAGAACTTCAGAGGTGAAAACTGGCAATCACTTCAAAGGGCGTAGGTGTGTAGATTGAATTACTATAGTAGCTCCTGACAAGTATTACGTCTACCTGCTGAATCAGAGTTTTGATGGTACCACTTCCGTATGACAAGCCATACTCTGTGATACACCATACAAACGAAGCGAACCCGATGCCGCGACTTCAATCGCGTCGCCCTAAATTCCTGGATTCCAGACGATCTAACAAAGCCACAACATCACACCTCCCCTTGATACTGGACGGATCGACTATCATCCCAAGCAGGTATATCAGTTGAATATGCAAACATGATTTTGAGAACATGCAAACCCTCAACGATCTGGTAGCACTTTGCGCGCATACTTGACAATGCCAGCCTCATTATCTACAGCCTCGAGCACGCTCACTAGAAGCCGCGCAACGGTTCTAGCCCTTACAACAATAACCGCTGTATTTGGATCATATTACATATATCGATCTGTCTTCGCCGAGTCACAAATCGATATAGTGCCGGGTCACGAGCTACATCGCAGCAACGCGATCCACCGACGACGAAGGCGGAACGGAGAGTCTCCGTCAGACAATCGAGACTCTGCTCACATTGACGAAGAGGCAGAGAATCACGAGGATGGTCAGATAGCGCCCCTTGCAGATGGCGCAACCGTCGTGGGAGATACTGGATTCGAGGGAGAGCAGGAATGGGATCGCCCTGAGGAGGCAGTACGGAATGGGCACAATATTGTACAACTACTATTTCGAGTTTCCGAGGATGCGACGAGACGGAATGCGTACATACACAGGGGCTGCGCATGTAATTCCTGTGGAGCAGTACCAATACGAGGTATCCGGTATCGATGTTCGAATTGTGCCGACTATGACCTCTGCGAGGGATGCGAGTCGCAAGGGCTTCATATCAAGACGCACATCTTCTACAAGATTAGAGTTCCTGGGCCGTCGTTTGGACCAAAGAACATCCAACCTGTATGGTATGCCGGAGATCCAGATTCAGTGATGAGGGTCCTGCCTAAAGAGATTACCACGAAATTATCGCGAGAGACAGGATTCGAGAGGTCAGAGTTGGATGCATATTGGGAGCAATGGACATTCATGGCGAGCACAGACTGGAGAGATGATCCGGATGATATCAATCTCGCTATGGATAGAAGAACATTCGAACGCTGTTTGGTACCCTCAGGTGGCTACCGGCATAGTAGCCCAAGCTTGATATTTGACAGGATGTTTGCTTTCTACGACACTAATAAAGACGATCTAATAGGGTTTCCGGAGTTTCTACATGGTATCGGGTATCGCAAGAAAAAGGAAAAATGGGCAAGGATATTTGAAGGTTACGATATAGATGGGGATGGATATGTCGAAAGAAAGGACTTCCTCAGAATGTTCAGGTCATACTACGTTCTGTATCGTCAAATGCATCGAGATATGTTGGAGGGAATGGAAGAGCAGCATATGAGTTGCACAGATGCACATCGACTAGTCACTAGTCGGCAACCGCTGAGCAGTGCTTTTGGTCAGGATGGAAGATATCCGCGCGCTCCAGATCCTCGTACTGGGGAGGGCAAGACCGTTATGTCCCACGGAGACATGGAAATCACAGACGGGAAAGGTGTTATGACAGAGAGTAACGGCGATATGGGAAATAGAGAAGACATCTTCCGCCAAAACATCATGACCCTCAGTCGTTATCATCAATTATTGAGGGAGCAGGGACGAGAGAACCAGACACCAAATTATGACGGAGGTGGATATTGGGACGCCATACTTAACCCTCCGCAATCAGAAATTCAGATCCTGAACATGGCTCGGAGGATGAGGACACTACGAGAGAGAGCACAAGATGTTCTTCAAGGCCGAATAAACGCGAATGCAGATAATTTTGGCGTTGTCATTGACGATGATTACGACGACGCATCTGACTCTGATGGTGATTTCGAGGCTGGCGGGGAAGGTCGGTCGTGGATACCAAATGATGTGACTGTCACAAACGAAGACGCGGAGGCGATCGAAGGTCCCGGCAAGACTCTTGATGATGTTCGACCAAAGCTCCGACAGACTGTTATTGCGCACGCAATTTATCGTGAGCGTGCCCAACAAGATATCTATGATCGATGGAGACGAAGACAATTCTATACAGACGAAGAGGAAGGTGGTGATCCGCCAATTAACTGGAATGATGAAGACGATGTCCTGGCACAGGTCAATGTCAATGGGGAGAGTTCCAAGAGTCACTCTCTTCCTTCAATACATTCGCGATCGTCCTCCAAGGTACGATTTGCGGAAGATATGGATGATCTTGATACTAGATCAAATCCATCAACGTCTTCTCGTAGTGTTCCTGAACGATGGGGTGGTATGGAAATTCCAGATGCAGAGAAGGATGCAGGCAAAGAGATTTTGTATCAGGTAACTCAGCAAGCCTTCAACGAACTTCTAGATCCTTTGTTCAAGAAACGGGAAGATCTGGCTCTTCAAGCCGCAGAAACGAGCGAGAAGCGGGATCGATATCGCACGCTCTTTACGACTCCAACCTTTCATGAGTGGGCACTTGAAAAAGAAGCCCAAGATGCAGCTCGAGAAGAGACCAAGCAAGCTGGACCAGTAAGGGAAACGAGAGTTCTAGTCACGCGTCCCATCTTCCCTGAATTCTCCGAGGTTGAGATTGAAGATGTCCGACAGCGACCACTCCAAGAACTCCTCGACGCTACTGGATTCGAGGCGATTGAGCCACGAGATGACGAGCCTGTCAATCTAGCAGATTTCTCGCAAGCCACACCGGCCTCACCAGGCGACGGGACCACCAGTCCTTTTGAAGAATTCATCCGCTCTCAACGCGAAGCTGCAGTTCAGGGTGAAAACTTCATGACTGAAGATGTCATGCCCACTCCCATCTCTCCCGCATCAGAAAACCACCCAACCACACCTCCATACCGCGACCCAACCCTTCCTCAATTCCGACCCAACTCCCTCCCCGTCTTCGCCCCTCGCTTCTCCCGCTTCGCCGAAGACCTCCCCGAGATCTCACCCTCTCCCACCCCGCCTCGACGACCCGATCTCGACCGCCCTCTAAGTGAAGTCGATAACCGACCGCCGCGCGAGACGCTCTACCAGCTCTGGCGCGCGGACCGGGCTGCGAAGGAGGCGGAGAAGAGAGGCGGCTGGGGACGAATGAATTATGAGGAGTTTCATGCGGCGGTTAAGAAGGCGGGGAGGGAGGGACGGGGTGCGCGGATGGATTATTTGGGGAGTTGGATTGATTTGTGTATTCCGTGATTGGTATCACCTTGGAATTAGGCGTTGGTGCATTTGGGTGTATAATATTAGCAGGTCATGTTAGTTGGCTCTCCACTACGCATTCGTTCTTGCTGCTTCGTCTCACATGGTGAACTTAGGGTGTGTAAAATAGTATCATATTATTTATCAGCCAACGTACTCGTGTCGTCTTATCCAGACAGCAACGCATCTCTGAAAATCCGCCACTGCGCCTCGTAAGCACCAAGCGCATGATCGACCATCGCCTTAAAACAAGCTCTCTAGCGCCGTTGAGGGCAAAAGCTTGTCCTATGATGTGCAAAGCTTGTGTTGGTGAGGGATTGGATGTGAGACGGGGAGTGTTTTTGATGGACTGGGGTTGGGGGGCGTGGTGTGGTTTGGTTCAGCTGTGGGTGACGCGTTGCGTTGTTGTATGGGGCTGGGGTTTGGAGAGGTTTGTGTAGCAGTTTGGAATTGAGATGGAGATGGGAGAAAGGAATTGAATTAAATGTGGTTCATCAAATTGAATTTTGAAGGAGATGTAGAAAAATACCTAGGCAAGATGAAATAGAAGCTTTCTCGAT